AGGCGTACAGAGGCCCATTATCAGCAACCATCAGTCCTGTGTTCCAATGCCACGTTGTGTTTGCTAATTCAAGTTTATCATTTTTAAGGGCTAATTGATCATTAGAAAACCTTTTTGCAATTATGTTAGCACAGCTGAAAACTGGCCTTCTTGAGACTAGTTGAGTATCTGGAGCATCAGCAATTGTGGGTTTGATTACAGGCTCAAAATGGCCAGAAACAAATAACTTTCTTCTGAAACTCGTCAGTCTATTCTTGTTCTGAGAAATGAAGGCTATTCCATGCGAGAAATTGCCAAGAAGCTGAATATCTCGTACAACGCTGTGTACTACTCCCTTCACAGAACAGCGCAAACTGTCTCTAACCAGAATAGAAAGAGGAGTGGGAGGCCCCGGTGCACAACTGAGCAAGAGGACAAATACATTAGAGTGTCTAGTTTGAGAAACAGACGCCTCACAGGTCCTCAACTGGCAGCTTCAATAAATAGTACCCGCAAAACACCAGTCTCAACGTCAACAGTGAAGAGGCGACTCCGGGATGCTGACCTTCTAGGCGGAGTTGCAAAGAAAAAGCCATATCTCAGACTGCCCATCTTAATCTTTTCTTTTTATTGGCCAGTCTGAGATATGGCTTTTTCTTTGCAACTCTGCCTAACAACTTTTAAGAATGCACACGTGTTAAATGAAATATATTCCAGGTGACTACCTCATTAAGCTGGTTGAGAGAATGCCAAGAGTGTGCAAAGCTGTCATCAAGGCAAAGGGTGGCTACTTGAAGAATCTATTTTGATATTTTGATTCGTTTAACACTTTTTTGGTTACTACATGATTCCATATGTGTTATTTCATAGTTTTTATGTCTTCACTATTATTCTACAATGTAGAAATAAAGAAAAACCCTTGAATGAGTAGGTGTGTCCAAACTTTTGACTGGTAGTGTATATACAGTTTACATACACCTCAGCCAAATACATTTAAACTCAGTTTTTCACAATACCTGACATTTAATCCTAGTAAAAATTCCCTGTCTTAGGTCAGTTAGGATCATGTGAAATGTCAGAATAATAGTAGAGATAATGATTTATTTCAGCTTTTATTTCTTTCATCACATTCCCAGTGGGTCAGAAGTTTACATACACTCAATTAGTATTTGGTAGCATTGCCTTTAAATTGTTTAACTTGGGTCAAACGTTTCGGGTAGCCTTCCACAAGCTTCCCACAATAAGTTGGGTGAATTTTGGCCCATTCCTCCTGACAGAGCTGGTGTAACTGAGTCAGGTTTGTAGGCCTCCTTGTTCGCACACGCTTTTTCAGTTCTGCCCACACATTTTCTATAGGATTGAGGTCAGGGCTTTGTGATTGCCACTCCAATACCTTGACTTTATTGTCTTTAAGCCATTTTGCCACAACTTTGGAAGGATGCTTGGGGTCATTGTCCATTTGGAAGACCCATTTGTGACCAAGCTTTAACTTCCTGACTGATGTCTTGAGATGTTTCTTCAATATATCCACGTCATTTTCCTTCCTCATGATGCCATCTATTTTGTGAAGTGCACCAGTCCCTCCTGCAGCAAAGCACCCCCACAGCATGATGCTGCCACCCCGTGTTTCACGGTTGGGATGGTGTTCTTCAGCTTGCAAGTTGCAAACCATAGTCTGGTTTTTTTATATAGATACTTTTGTACCTGTTTCCTCCAGCATCTTCACAAGGTCCTTTGCTGTTGTTCTGGGATTGATTTGCACTTTTTGCACCAAAGTACGTTCACCTCTAGGAGACAGAACGTGTCTCCTTCCTGAGCGGTATGACGGCTGCGTGGTCCCATGTTGTTTATACTTGCGTACTATTGTTTGTACAGATGAACGTGGTACCTTCAGGCGTTTGGAAATTGCTCCCAAGGATGAACCAGACTTGTGGAGGTCTACACTTTTTTTTCTGAGGTCTTGGCTGATTTCTTTTGATTTTCCCATGATGTCAAGCAAAGAGGCACTGAGTTTGAAGGTAGGCCTTGAAATACATCCACAGGTACACCTCCAATTGACTCAAATGATGTCTGTTAGTCTATTAGAAGCTTCTAAAGCCATGACATCATTTTCTGGAATTTTCCAAGCTGTTTAAAGGTGCAGTCAACTTAGTGTATGTAAACTTCTGACCCACTGGAATTGTGATACAGTGAATTATAAGTGAAATAATCTGTCTGTAAACAATTGTTTGAAAAATTACTTGTGTCATGCACAAAGTAGATGTCCTAACCGACTTGCCAAAACTATAGTTTGTTAACAAGAAAAGTGTGGAGTGGTTGAAAAACGAGTTTTAATGACTCCAACCTAAGTGTATGTAAACTTCCGACTTCAACTGTACATACACAGACATACATACATACACACATATATATATAAATATACATACATATACATACATACAGACATATAAATACACATACATGTACAGTGCATTCTGAAAGTATTCAGACCCCTTGACTTTTTCAACATTTTGTTACGTGACAGCCTTATTCTAAAATTGATAAAAAAACAAAATGTCCCTCATCAATCTACAGACAATACCCCGTAATGACAAAGCGAAAACTGGTTTTTAGAAATGTTTGCATAAGTATTCAGACCCTTTGCTATGCTATCTCACACTTTCCAAATCATGTCCAATCAATTGAATTTACCACAGGTGGACTCCAATCAAGTTGTAGAAACATCTCAAGGATGATCAATGGAACTAGGATGCCCCTGAGCTCAATTTCGAGTCACATAGCAAAGGGTCTGAATACCTACGTAAATAAAGTATTTATGTTTTTTATTTTGATACATTTGCAACAAAAATCTAAAAACCTGTTTTTGCTTTGTCATTATGGGGTATTGTGTGTAGATTGATGAGAAAAAATAATTAAAAATAGGTTTTAGAATAAGGTTGTAACGTAACAAAATGTGGAAAAAGTCAATGCACTGTAGGTAACACACAGGAGGACATTTTTCTCTGTTGAGTTAATTACCTTTTGAATTTCCAGCCAAATGTAAACTGTTCCTGTTCTGATTAATTGAATAGAGTGAGTTAGGTCTGCTCTACACCAAATTAGCAAACCTCCTCTCCCTCCATCAGTCATAGACTTTCACGGTTGACCACATAGCTCTCCCCAGGCCCCGCTTGAAGCCCCATTGTGCAACGCAGGAGGCTTATGGTTTTCCGGACCCCCTGAAAAAAGAGGGCAAGAGGAAAAGGGAGATGTATAGAAGGAGGTGGTGATGGCATTTGTTCTTCAGCATGACAAGCGGGTGACTTTTTTTTCTTCTCTTCCTCTGTGACAGGTCGAACAGTTTCATCTGGTGGGGTGTGTTGGCTTTGTGTGTGTGTGTGTGTGTGTGTGTGTTGGGGCAGGCAGACAGTCCTGCGCTGGGGAAATGGCAGTGAATGACATGGAGAGATTAGTAACCACAGGGCTAGTCCAGTAGGCTCACAGGCCCATCCGTTGGTGCCCGGGCGTCCTCACCGTTCGTTCGTTCATTCTCTCTCTCTCTCTCTCTCTCTTACCGCAGGGCAGGCAGGCTGTTGGGGAACAGTTATATGTCACCTTTGACAACACCTAAACCTTAACCCCTTCTCTCTGTTCCTGAACCCCACCTCTCAGCAGGCCAGGCCTCTCACTGTATCCGACTGAAACACATTTACATACAGTATCCTCAGTTCAACCGTTGGTTGTAGACTTTTTATTCAAATGGTGTTTGAGCCAACCTATGGTCACAGTGAGGACAAAGGAAATTGATTTTTTTTTTTAAAGGAGGACATTCATGAAAAATATAATAGAAAAAGCCATAATGAATTATAGGAGAAATATGCATTACTTCAGATAATCCAAGCACTACTCGGCCCAAATGTAATGAACATTAGAAAACAAACTCCAGGTACTTTAACCTTTTGTACTTTTTGTCCTTTATTAGTGAGTTAGCTACTATAGTAGAGAATAATTATCTTAGAGACGAATTCATTGTAGAAAACTCTCTATTGTCAATTGTATGATTTTTTTGTATGGCATTGGACCAGACCAGAAAACATCACACACGGACCACAAAGCATCGCACAGAAGAACTCAACACAAAACCCCATGCCATATCTCTTGGGCCTCACTTGTATTGTAACATCGACCTCAAATGGATACCTTGTACATATTCCATTCAAACAAGCGGCATGCACTGGGGCGCATTCATTACGCCAATTCTGTTGCAAAACCTTTCTTAAACGGAAGCAAACCGAACGAAACGGGGCGGGACCTACCTGAACGTGTCCAATAGAAAGTCTCGTTTTAGTTGCGCGATGTTTCGTTTTGCCACTGTTTGGACTAATGATTCCACTCCGATTGCGGTCTTAGCTGACGTCATTGGTTTGCGCCCTGTCCGGGAGTGTGCGACGCTGTTGGCGCTCAGAAGGAGGGTTAGCTAACTCCAAGCAGCAACTGTAAGTGAAGTGTATGATGTTATTATCGTGGGTCAAATATAGTTATTGTCTCTACACTTTATTTTATTGCAATTTTGTGCTCTGAAAATTGGAGTGAAATCGGGGTTGGAGAGCATTTTAGTCTAACATTAGTCGTGAAGTGATAGCTAAGCAACGACAAACGTTAACCACTGATGAGGAATTTTTTTCCGGCTTGTTTTCATGTAAAAAAATTACACCTTTGACTAGTTGATACCGATACAATGACAGCCTTTGAATTGCTAATTTGTAACGTTAGCCATACCTGCCGGCTTGTAACGGGTAAACTATCTAGTTTTGGCATCTGTCTGTGGCAACATGAGAAAGTGAAAACACTTGTCCAAAAAAATGACTGTTTCAAAACACAGCTCCCATCTTCCTGAAAAAAAAAGTAATGCTTTCAAAAGCCCACACTACACCATTGATTATTAATTAGGGTTCCAAAATATCCTAAATGAACAGAAATTATCTGTTATCATCATCAACTATTGACCTTTGTTGATATATGTTTGTAGGGTGTATGTGTAGGTGTTTCTGCTGCAGCATGGATTCTGTGCCAGAGCCCAGGTCAGTCAGACGTTCCCATCGCACGTCAAAGTCACCGGACAACAACGCAGCCAAAGTAAGATATGCCAGAGAGTAGGAGTCTTGTCTGCTAGCTACATGTCCATGATAAGAAGTGAATAGAGCTAGCCAGCATCTTGAAGTAGACTCACTGCAGCTCACTCTTGACTGTAGGCCAGGGTTCTTCAATTCCGGTCCTGGAGGGGGCCGAAACACCTCTGTTTTTCATCCTCTCCTTCTAATCAGGGGCTAATTCAGACCTGGGACACCAGGTGAGTGCAATTAACTACCAGGTAGAAATAAAAAACAGAAGTGTTTCGGCCCTCCAGGACCGGAATTGAAGAACCCTTCTGTAGGCTATATCAGGGATGGCTAACAACAGAGATCCTGTTAAATTACTAGAGGGGCAATGTCATAAACCAGAGTTCCAGAATGGGGTGAAAATGGCAGCCATATTGGTCAGGTCGAAATCCAACCCAGTCTAATTGGAATGAATGGCAGTAGAGGCATAATCCTGATTTTACTTATGCAGGAAAATAAAACAAAGACGTGATATCAGAAGTTGTTTAACATAATTATTATCAATATAAAATATTGTAATATCATAAATATAGTTCATTCAGGGTTTATACACATTTTCTGTATAAATAGCCTCTAAAATATATGTAAACAGACCAATAAATGTCAAAATTTTTGTTTTCTTGGGAAGCTGAAATTGCTATTATATGATCAGTACTTGTTGCATTTACAACTTGTCTAAGTCCTATCAACTGGTTTAAGCCAGTTCAAGGCTGTGGATTGACTGCATTGTTTGAATGGAATGTTGGCATAATGTCAGTTAATTTGTAAAAGTAATGGAATCATTCTTCTAAAACTGTCTGGCTAGCTAACTAACAAACATGCAGTGCAGATAAATTCTTCAAATCCATTATTTTACACAATATCTTATCACAGCACTGGCAAACCACGGTTGACCTACTCCCTGACCAAAATGGCTGACCTTTGGACCATCATAAGAAGGTTCATGGCCATTCTAGTATTCTAATTCATAATTCTATGTGGCCAACTGGCTGCGTAGGCTTTTGCTCCAACCCTACACAAACACATCTGATTCAACCAATCAATGACCTGAGAAGCAGCGGACGACTAGAATCTGGTGTGTTGAAGCAGGGTTGGAACAAAGTCCTCCCATCCAGGGCTGGTCACCCCTGCTGCAGATAAACCAGTTAGATTTAAAACTGTAGTCGTTGCTGCTGTTCCAAATGGCACCCTATTGCCTATGTAGTGCTTTTGACCAGGGCTCATAGTGCTCTGGTCAAAAGTAGTGCACTATACAGGGATTAATGTACAATTTAAGACACAGCTGTAGCTGTTAATGATCACCGTGTTCATTGTGGAGTTTGACCACGTAGAGACATTTAAACCTTTAGACTCCCTGAAGCAGTTTTTCCACACACAGACATTCACTTTACAAGACTGGGTAATTTCTTCAAACATCTTCAATCTGTCTTTCACTCTAATGGTCTCCTAATCACTTGGAGAGTTAATTTTACTGGGACAACAGATAACTGTTCTGTCTCGCTTCATGACTTCCTAACCTCAGTCTGTTACTCACCTCTGCCTCAGGAGAGCGGCAAGGCACGCAAGATGACAAGCAACCTGCAGGAGACTCGGAGGAGAGGAAGAATGGACAGATGTAAAGGAGAAGAGGACATAGCCAATCAACTGCAGAACCTGGTACAGACTTTAGAGAAGAAGCCTAAAGGGAAATTAAATGTGGGAGGAAGAGTTTTACATTTGTATGTAAATGAGTGTGTGAGAGAGATGGAGAGGAAAGAGTGAATCTAGAGAGATGGAGAGGAAACAGTGAATCTAGAGAGATGGAGAGGAAACAGTGTATCTAGAGAGATGGAGAGGAAACAGTGAATCTGGAGAGATGGAGAGGAAACTGTGAATCTAGAGAGATGGAGAGGAAACAGTGAATCTGGAGAGATGGAGAGGAAACAGTGAATCTAGAGAGATGGAGAGGAAACAGTGAATCTAGAGAGATGGAGAGGAAACAGTGTATCTGGAGAGATGGAGAGGAAACAGTGTATCTGGAGAGATGGAGAGGAAACAGTGAATCTAGAGAGATGGAGAGGAAACAGTGAATCTAGAGAGATGGAGAGGAAACAGTGAATCTGGAGAGATGGAGAGGAAACAGTGAATCTAGAGAGATGGAGAGGAAACAGTGAATCTGGAGAGATGGAGAGGAAACAGTGAATCTAACATTTAGACTCTTTACATAATGTATTATGAACACATAATAACCTCATCACTCATCGTCTACTAGTGCAGAGCGATTGACTTTTCCCCCGGTTATTAAACAACTCATTGACCGACGTCGGTTCAATTACTTGAATTCCTTTTACCTAGCTTTTTGTGTGAGCCCAACACGCCATTTCTCTAGAGAGAAATCAAATAATTCATGAAATCAAGTCAAGAACTATGTGGGACGCTGGGCTGAAGGTAGTTGTCATTTTTCAGTAAGAAAATATTAAACAGTGCAGAAATGTTCTAATGAACTACAATGACCCTAATCCATTGCACCTGTTCTTTCCGGCGCGGACTGTGACGGATACACTTGCTACACCTGCTACGTTAGGTTAGATACACACAGACCACACGAGAGAGGAATGTACACAATGACAAGAGGAGACAGTTGGTGAAAGTATGCCTTCTCTACTTTGAAGAACTAGTCAAATGATTTAGTCAGACAGCTCTGCAGCATACTTAGGCAGGCTAGTTAAATAGGATGACTAAAGACAGGACAGTACGGGGAGCACAGAGATAACGTTAGATGATCTGGCTGGCTGGCTGGCTGGCTGGCTGACTGCTACCGCCTGAGCAGAGATGAGATGATGACTTTAAGGAATGAAAAAGAATAGTCATCAAATAAAAACTAAGTAATATATATATATATATACACAACTGAAATATGTTATTATTTAGTAATTGACTGTTGTTCTGTTGACGTCTACCCAATGTGGACCTGACAGAGAATATGGAATATTTTATATGGTTTTGACAATTGAATGCTCACAATTTTTGGCTTTGGAATTTCCATTAAAAAGCTCTAAAATCAATGTAACGTCATTATTTCATAATACATTTCATGTAAAAATGAAATAATCAAAAGCAAAATAGAAAACTGTGATTATTTTCTAATAATCTAACCGAAACTGAAACAGACCTCAAAAAGCACTAATTGCTCAGCACTATTGGCTACTGTTGTCGTGTGTGTGTGTGTGTGCTCACGTATTTGTGTCTGTGTGTGCTCACGTGTTTGTGTGTAGGATCTGGGCAACAAGGCTTCTGCCACAGGGACTGGTCTGGTGTTCAACAAAATATTCACCCACCATCGCTGTCTCTGGGACCCCAGGTGACTGTCATGTTTTCTGAACCCTGTTCTTCTGTCTCCTTACTGCTCCAGGTGGGTACACTATATATACAGAAGTATGTGGACAACCCCTTAAAATTAGTGGATTCGGCTATTTCAGCCACACCCGTTGCTGACAGGTGTATATAATTGAGCACACAACCATGCAATCTCCGTAGACAAACATTGGCAGTAGAATGGCCTTATTGAAGAGCTCAGTGACTTTCAACGTGGCTCCGTCATAGGATGCCACCTTTCCAACAAATCAGTTTGTGAAATTTCTACCCTGCTAGGCTGCCCCGGTCAACTGTAAGTGCTGTTATTGTGAAGTGGAAACGTCTTGGAGCAACAACGGCTCAGCCGCGAAGTGGTAGGCCACACAAGCTCACGGAAAGAGACCGCCGAGTGCTGAAGTGCGCAGCGCGAAAAAATAGTCTGTCCTCGGTTGCAACACTCACTACCGAGTTCCAAACTGCGTCAGGACAATAACTGTTCGTCGGGAGCTTCATGAAATGGGTTTCCATGGCCGAGCAGCTGCACACAAGCCTAAGATCACCATGCGCAATGCCAAGCGTCGGCTGGAGTGGTGTAAAGCTTTCCGCCATTGGACTCTGGAGCAGTGGAAACTCGTTCTCTGGAGTGATTAATCACGTTTCACCATCTGGCAGTCCGACAGACGAATCTGGGTTTGGCGGATGCCAGGAGAACGCTACCTGCCCCAATGCATAGTGCCAACTGTAAAGTTTGGTGGAGGAGGAATAATGGTCTGAGGCTGTTTTTCATGGTTCGGGCTAGGCCCCTTAGTTCCAGTGAAGGGAAATCTTAACGCTACAGCATACAATGACATTCTAGACGATTCTGTGCTTCCAACTTTCTGGCAACAGTTTGGGGAAGGCCCTTTCCGGTTTCAGCATGACAATGCCCTCGTGCACTAAGCGATGTCCATACAGAAATGGTTTGTTGAGATCGATGAGGAAGAACTTGACTGGCCTGCACAGAGCCCTGACCTCAACCCCATCAAACACCTTTGGGATGAATGTACCCCAAACAACCCCAAACAACCTCAAACTGGTACCCCTGCATTTAAAGTTTGACCTAATTTCTGATTCTGTAAGCAATTAACGGACTGGTTTTATTGAAAACTGAATTGAGAAACTATTGTGTTGCCCTGCTTCCAGCCATCCAGAATGCCCCGAGAGAGTGAGCACCATAATGGACATGGTGCAGAAACAGGGACTGCTGTCTCGCTGTGTTATGGTGGAGGTAAGAGATTACAACACACATACACCACAACAACACACCACCAGTGGAGAAACAGGGACTGTGGTCCTCGTCTGTGTTATGGTGGAGGGTAAGAGATTACAACACACACACACCACACACGTGAGAAACGGGACCGTCCCGCTGTGTATGTGAGGTAAGAGTTACACACACATACACACACACACACCACATGGAGAACATGGACTGCTTCTCGCTTGTTATGTGGAGGAAGAGATTACACACACATACCACACACACACACACATGGAAACAGGCCTGTCTCACTTATGGTGAGGTAGACATACACACACTACACACAACACACACACACAGTGGAGAAACAGGACTGCTGTCTCGCTGTGTTAGGTGGATAAGAGATTACAACTATTGCACAGGGACTGCTGTCTCGCTGTGTATTGAGTAGAGATTACAACATACAATACCACACCAGTGGAAAACAACTGCTGTCTCGCTGTTTATCAAGGTGGATACAAACGCATCCACGACCATGGCAACACAGGGACTGGTCTCGCTGTTTAGGTGAAGTAAAGTATATTACATACATAACACTAAACATGAAATGGATTGTCTGCTAGTTAGTAGTGTGGTTGCCTCCCCACAACATGGACATTTTGTCGGTTGTTATTCGTGATGTTTCACACTCTCACTCAACCATGACTCCCAGGCACAACACCGTGCGTCTAACGAGACTGCTGTCCGCTGTTTATGGTGATACAGAGATTCACAACTGCTACACACAGCACACACACACATGGAGAAACAGGACTGTGCCTCGCGTGTTATGGTGGAGGTAAGAGATTACAACACACATACACACAACACACACACACACACACACACAGTGGAGAAACAGGGACTGCTGTCTCGCTGTGTTATGGTGGAGGTAAGAGATTACAACACACATACACACACACACACACACACACAGTGGAGAAACAGGGACTGCTGTCTCGCAGCGGTGGATTGATTGATTGATTGATCAATCGATGTATTGATAGATTGATTGATTGAAGGAAGGGCCAGTGGAAGAACAAAAGAGACTGTTGTTTACTCAAGGTGGACTACTAGAATGCGCGTCCGGTCAGCAACATCTCAGGGACTGGTCTTCGTCCACGGATCTGAGGTTGAACAACACCGCTATATTATGTTAACACAAAGTAGTTAGACATGAAATGTATTTATTATCATAGTAGTCAGTGCTGGTTGCTTCTCCACAGTACATTGATATTGTATGTATTGAACCATTCGTTGTATGTTCATATCTCTCTCTCACCATGTTCTCCAGGCTAGGGCTGCGTCTAACGAAGAGCTGCGGTTAGTTCACACGTAAGTCTCTTAGACTGCGTTTACACAAGCAGCCCAATTTTAAATATCTTTGTTCACTAATTGGTCTTTTGACCAATCAGATCATTTCTGAAAAAGATCTGATGCGAAAAGATCCGATGTTGTTGTGATTGGTCAAACGACCAATTAGCGGGGGAAAAAAGATCAGAATTGCGCTGCCTGTGTCTTTTAAATTCTGTGTAGAATGCCCAACAATTATGTTTATATTTTCATTCACGTGTTTGTTGTGTAAATGTGGCCTGTTGTATCTAACAGGAAGGAGTATGTATCTAACAGGAAGGAGTATGTATAAATGTTGTATCTAACAGGAAGGAGTATGTAGATCTGATGAGGTCCACTCAGCAGATGGATGAAGACCAGCTGAAGACGCTGGCTGACACCTATGACTCCATCTACATCCACCCTGTGAGTAACTGTTTTATTCAAACACTGATGATATCCGGGCCGGTTCAGAGTTGAGATGACTACAGGCGACTCAGTAAATCATTCATTGATGTCAGTGGGAGGCTTGCTAGAAAATGTGAGTTAAGAGTGCAGATCTCAAGTCAGAATAGGCCCTCTGTTGTTGAGTTATCAAGACTATGGCAGTGGTCACTGGGGATGTAAAGGATGTCATGGTTAATACTAAAGAGTATACTACTTTATCCCCTCTGTTAATATATTTTCCTTCTCTCTCTTTATCTCTCTCTCTCCTCTCTCTCTCTCTCTCTATCTCTCTCTCTCTCTCTCTTCTCTCTTCTCTTGTGTGTCTCTCTCTCTCTCTCTCTATCTCTCTCTCTCTCTCTGGTCTCTCTTCTCTCTCTCTCTCTCTCTATCTCTCTCTCTCGTCTCTCTCTCTCTCTGTCTCTCTCTCTCTCTCTCTGTCTCTCTCTGTCTCTCTCTCTCTCTCTCTCTCTCTCTCTCTGTCTCTCTCTCTCTGTGTCTCTCTCTCTCCTCTCTCTCTCTCTCTCTACTCTCTCTCTGTGTCTCTCTCTCTCTCTCTCTGTTCTCTCTCTCTCTCTCTCTGTGTCTCTCTCTCTCTGTGTGTCTCTCTCTCTGTGTCTCACTCTCTGTCTGTGTCTCTCTCCCCCCCAGGAGTCCTATACGTGTGCCAGTCTGGCTGTGGGCTCTGTTCTGCAGCTGGTTGACAAGGTCATGACCTCAGAGCTCCGGAACGGATTCTCTGTTTCCAGGTAAATGATATATGTCTGTCACAGCTTTATCAATCTGAGGATATTGTTTTAAACAGAAATCATCTCTGAATGTAACATATTTAATTGACTTCTGTTTGTAGTTGTTTTTAATTGACTGTAATGTATGTTTTCCCCTGACATGTCCAGACCTCCAGGCCATCACGCCCAGGTAGACAAGATGAATGGTTACTGTATGTTCAATCACCTGGCCATCGCAGCGCGCTACGCACAGACACACCATCGGGTGGAACGGTGAGTCACATCACTGATTGGTTGATTGGTTGATTGGTTGATTGGTTGATTGGTTGATTGGCTAATTGGCTAGTTTTTAATTTTTGTTGATTGCAGAGTTTCGATTGGTTGATATGTTGATTGTAGAGTTCTGATTGGTTGATTGCAGAGTTTCGATTGGTTGATATGTTGATTGTAGAGTTCTGATTGGTTGATTGCAGAGTTCTGATAGTGGACTGGGATGTGCATCACGGCCAGGGGATCCAGTACGTTTTCCAGGAGGATCCCAGGTAGGTTCATCTGAACCCAGTGGCCACGGATACGGACTTTCTGGATACCAATTTGCCCAGGCATTTCTGCGCATGTGCAGGATTTTTTTTTTTTTACGTAGCTGAGTGCCTTCATAATATGTGTTTTGGAATGTTGGTTGAAATCGCCGCAGGGTTTTTATTTCAGCTGTTCAGAGACACAGACTACATGGTTCAGAAGAGGCTGAGTATGTGCTCAGTTGTCAGAGCACCTTACCGATCACTGCACCTGTACACAGCCCATCTGAAATTAGCCCACCTAACTACCTCATCCCTATATTGTTATTTATTTTGCTCTTTTGCACCCCAGTATCTCTATTTGCACATCATCTCTTGCACATCTAGCATTCCAGTGTTAATTACTATTGTAATTATTCTGCACTATAGCCTATTTATTGCCTTACCTCCATAACTTGCTACATTTGCACACACTGGATATATTTTCTGTTGTATTTCTGACTTATGTTTTTTTTTTTACCCCATATGTAACTCTGTGTTGTTTTTATTGCACTACTTTGCTTATCTGGCCAGGTCGCAGTTGTAAATGAGAACCTGTTCTCAATGGCTTACCTGGTTAAATAAAAGGTGAAAAAAAAAAAAAAAGTATACAGAGAAACGTGGAGGGAGTGAGAGCAAGCAGCACGTTAGAAAAACGAATGTGTGCGTTATAAAATAACACTCAGAACGTGATCTGGACCTTTTGAGAAAGAGGTTTCCGGAGGGGGGGGTGAGGGCTGGGGGGGGCGGGGGAGGGTATGTATGGCGTCAATGATGAAGGATGTAGATCCAGCTAAACATACTCGCGATCGAATGCAGAGACGAGAGGATAGAGCGCAGAGAGTATGTAGAGTGGAGAGGAAGAGAGAGAGCGTAAGTGGAATGGGGGGGAGATACTCTCTAGCTCGCTCGAGCTAATTCGCTTCTTTCTATTGTCAATTCTCTCCCTTTCCCTCTCTCTTTCTCTCTCTCTCCTCCCTCCCTCCTCTCTCTCTTCTCTCTCTCTCCTCTCCTTTCTCTCTCTCCTCTCTCTCCTCTCTCTCTCCTCTCTCTGGTCAGTGTTCTGTACTTCTCAGTCCACAGATATGAGGAGGGTTCGTTCTGGCCCCACCTGCCTGAGTCAGACAGCAGTGCTGTGGGCACCGGGTCTGGAGAGGGATACAACATCAACCTGCCCTGGAATAAGGTACTGCTTACTGGACTAGTTACTGGACTAGTTAAGGCCCATTTACCTCTGATGTCATATTATCTCCTCAGTGTTTACCTTGTATTCTGTATTCTAATGTTGTTGTATTGAGGGTTCTGTTTTTCTAATGTTGTTGTATTGAGGGTTCTGTTTTTCTAATGTTGTTGTATTGAGGGTTCTGTTTCTAATAGTTTGTAAAATGTGGTGACATTGAGGTTTATTCTTTCCCTTTGTCGACAGATTGGAATGAAAGATGCAGACTACGTTGCAGCATTCCAACAGCTTCTTCTGCCTGTAGCCTATGAGGTATCGTTGTTGAGATGGTTGTTAGACTTCCTCAATAGTTTGGGTTTTATATAACGTAATAGAGTATAGAACATAAAGATGATGTTCTTAGAAGAATAGAACATTCAGATGATGTTCTTAGAAGAATAGAACATTCAGATGATGTTCTTAGAAGAATAGGAACATTCAGATGATGTTCTTAGAAGAATAGGAACATTCAGATGATGTTCTTAGAAGAATAGGAACATTCAGATGATGTTCTTAGAAGAATAGGAACATTCAGATGATGTTCTTAGAAGAATAGAACATTCAGACGATGTTCTTAGAAGAATAGGAACATAAAGATGATGTTCTTAGAAGAATAGAACATTCAGATGATGTTCTTAGAAGAATAGAACATTCAGATGATGTTCTTAGAAGAATAGGAACATTCAGATGATCTTAGAAGAATAGGAACATAAAGATGATGTTCTTAGAAGAATAGGAACATTCAGATGATGTTCTTAGAAGAATAGGAACATTCAGATGATGTTCTTAGAAGAATAGAACATTCAGATGATGTTCTTAGAAGAATAGGAACATTCAGATGATGTTCTTAGAAGAATAGGAACATTCAGATGATGTTCTTAGAAGAATAGAACATTCAGATGATGTTCTTAGAAGAATAGGAACATTCAGATGATGTTCTTAGAAGAATAGGAACATAAAGATGATGTTCTTAGAAGAATAGGAACATAAAGGTGATGTTCTTAGAAGAATAGGAACATAAAGGTGATGTTCTTAGAAGAATAGGAACATAAAGGTGATGTTCTTAGAAGAATAGGAACATAAAGATGATGTTCTTAGAAGAATAGGAACATAAAGATGATGTTCTTAGAAGAATAGGAACATAAAGATGATGTTCTTAGAAGAATAGGAACATAAAGATGTTGTTCTTAGAAGAATAGGAACATAAAGATGATGTTCTTAGAAGAATAGAACATTCAGATGATGTTCTTAGAAGAATAGAACATTCAGATGATGTTCTTAGAAGAATAGAACATTCAGATGATGTTCTTAGAAGAATAGAACATTCAGATGATGTTCTTAGAAGAATAGAACATTCAGATGATGTTCTTAGAAGAATAGAACATTCAGATTATGTTCTTAGAAGAATAGGACATTCAGATGATGTTCTTAGAAGAATAGAACATTCAGATGATGTTCTTAGAAGAATAGAACATTCAGATTATGTTCTTAGAAGAATAGAACATTCAGAAGTGAATTCCCCCATAACAGTTTGTTTCTTGCAGTTCCAGCCTCAACTTGTCCTGGTGGCAGCAGGCTTTGACTCTGTGATAGGTGATCCCAAGGTAAGGAGAACCAAATATTCATTTTTTTCTTTCATTACAAGTTGATGTGATAAAAATGTATATTATTTCTGAAAGAACTTGTGTGTGTGTGTGTTAGGGGGAGATGTCTGCCAGTCCTCAGTGTTTCTCTGTGCTAACTCACATGCTGCGGGGCCTGGCTCAGGGGAAGGTGTTGCTGGTTCTGGAGGTAAGAACAACACGCTCTAGATATCTTTATTAAAGCTGCGATTTACACATGCAGCCCAAATCAGATCTTTTGCCACTAATTGGCCATTTGACCAATCACATCAGATCTTTTGCCACTAATTGGTCATTTGACCAATCAAATCAGATCTTTTGTCAATAATTGGGCAAATGAAAATGATTCTGCTGCCTGTGTAAACGTTGAGTTGGGTTGGGTTGGCTTCCATACCACGTGATATATCTACATTAACTGCATGCATCCACATTTATGGTTACAATCAATGTGTGTTGAACGTTTTCTAAAGTTGTGTTGAGTGGAGTTGATGACATGTTTCAGGGAGGATATAACCTGCAGTCCACAGCAGAGGGGGCATGTGCCTGTCTGAGGTCACTGCTGGGGGAGTCCTGCCCCCGCCTGGGGTCACCGTCCATCCCTCATGACAGTGCCCTGAAATCCATCTCCAGGTCCATCTCTGCTCTGTACCCTTACTGGACCAGTCTGCAGGTACTAGGTAAGTACTGGAGAACCCTTCATAACCCTTATAACCCATTCATAACCCTTTCAACCCATTCATAACCCTTTAAACCCATTCATAACCCTTTAAACCCATTCATTATCCCTCATAACCCCTTCATAACCCCTTATAACCCATTCATAACCCTTTAAACCCATTCATTATCCCTCATAACCCATTCATAACCCCTTATAACCGTTTCAAAACCCCTTATCACCCATTCATAATAATTCACAACCCATTTATAACCATTCATAACCCCTTCATAAATTGTTGAATTATAATCCATTAATAACTCCTTCATAACCTCTTCATAACCCATCATAACCATTCATGACTGTGCTATGTCTCCAGAGGGAGGGCCTCTATCAGACAGCGACCCCCTGACCCCAGCCCTGACCCCAGCCCTGACCCCAGCCCTGACCCCAGCCCTGACCCCGGCAGAGAGCAGTGAGGGGCTTAGTGAAGAGGTCTGTGAGGAGAGAACAGGCAGCCTGGACCTGACCACAGGCCTGGTGTACGACCAAAGGATGATGGATCATCACAACATGTGGGACAGGTGAGAATCAGTCAAAGACACCGCAACATGTGGGACAGGTGAGAATCAGTCAAACACACCACAACATGTGGGACAGGTGAGAATCAGTCAAAGACACCACAACATGTGGGACAGGTGAGAATCAGTCAAACACACCGCAACATGTGGGACAGGTGAGAAACAGTCAAAGACACCACAACATGTGGGACAGGTGAGAATCAGTCAAAGACACCACAACATGTGGGACAGGTGAGAATCAGTCAAAGACATCACAACATGTGGGACAGGTGAGAATCAGTCAAAGACACCACAACATGTGGGACAGGTGAGAATCAGTCAAAGACATCACAACATGTGGGACAGGTGAGAATCAGTCAAAGACACAACAACATGTGGGACAGGTGAGAATCAGTCAAAGACACAACAACATGTGGGACAGGTGAGAATCAGTCAACGACACCACAACATGTCGGACAGGTGTGACATTGAGGCCCTGTCCAGAAACAAACATGTCCCCCTCCCTGGAAAACAGTGCCAGTTGTTACTCAGTGGATAATCCTGGTTAAAGAAACACTAAATAATCCCCTACCCCTGAGGGTTCCTTCACTGTCCAGCCCTTGCCTCCTGCTGAATGGACGCTACATAAATAATGTTTATTTGGTTGTTGGTAGCCACCATCCAGAGCTTCCCCAGAGGATCCAGCGTGTCTTCTCCCGTCATGAGGACCTGGGCTTGGTGTCCCGTTGCCTAAGGATACCGGCTCGACTCGCCTTAGAAGAGGAGCTGGCTCTGTGCCACAGGTAACTTCTACCGAAAACTAGTTAAAGATATAGGGCTGTTACTGGTTGTATAGGGCTGCTACTGGTCCTATAGGGCTGCTACTGGTCGTATAGGGCTGTTACTGGTCCTATAGGGCTGTTACTGGTTGTATAGGGCTGCTACTGGTCCTATAGGGCTGCTACTGGTCGTATAGGGCTGTTACTGGTCCTATAGGGCTGTTACTGGTCCTATAGGGCTGCTACTGGTCCTATAGGGCTGTTACTGGTCGTATAGGGCTGTTACTGGTCCTATAGGGCTGCTACTGGTCCTATAGGGCTGTTACTGGTCGTATAGGGCTGTTACTGGTCCTATAGGGCTGTTACTGGTCCTATAGGGCTGCTACTGGTCCTATAGGGCTGTTACTGGTCCTATAGGGCTGCTACTGGTCCTATAGGGCTGTTACTGGTCGTATAGGGCTGTTACTGGTCGTATAGGGCTGTTACTGGTCGTATAGGGCTGTTACTGGTCGTATAGGGCTGTTGTTACTGGTCCTATAGGGCTGTTACTGGTCCTATAGGGCTGCTACTGGTCCTATAGGGCTGTTACTGGTCGTATAGGGCTGTTACTGGTCCTATAGGGCTGCTACTGGTCCTATAGGGCTGCTACTGGTCCTATAGGGCTGCTACTGGTCCTATAGGGCTGCTACTGGTCCTATAGGGCTGCTACTGGTCCTATAGGGCTGTTACTGGTCGTATAGGGCTGCTACTGGTCCTATAGGGCTGTTACTGGTCCTATAGGGCTGCTACTGGTCCTATAGGGCTGCTACTGGTCCTATAGGGCTGTTACTGGTCGTATAGGGCTGCTACTGGTCATATAGGGCTGCTACTGGTCGTATAGGGCTGCTACTGGTCGTATAGGGCTGCTACTGGTCGTATAGGGCTGTTACTGGTCCTATAGGGCTGTTACTGGTCCTATAGGGCTGCTACTGGTCGTATAGGGCTGCTACTGGTCCTATAGGGCTGCTACTGGTCGTATAGGGCTGCTACTGGTCCTATAGGGCTGTACTGGTCCTATAGGGCTGCTACTGGTCCTATAGGGCTGCTACTGGTCCTATAGGGCTGCTACTGGTCCTATAGGGCTGCTACTGGTCGTATAGGGCTGCTACTGGTCGTATAGGGCTGCTACTGGTCGTATAGGGCTGCTACTGGTCGTATAGGGCTGTTACTGGTCCTATAGGGCTGTTACTGGTCCTATAGGGCTGCTACTGGTCGTATAGGGCTGCTACTGGTCCTATAGGGCTGCTACTGGTCGTATAGGGCTGTTACTGGTCCTATAGGGCTGTTACTGGTCGTATAGGGCTGTTACTGGTCGTATAGGGCTGTTACTGGTCGTATAGGGCTGTTACTGGTCCTATAGGGCTGTTACTGGTCGTATAGGGCTGTTACTGGTCGTATAGGGCTGTTACTGGTCCTATAGGGCTGCTACTGGTTGTATAGGGCTGTTACTGGTCCTATAGGGCTGTTACTGGTCCTATAGGGCTGCTACTGGTCGTATAGGGCTGCTACTGGTCATATAGGGCTGTTACTGGTCGTATAGGGCTGCTACTGGTCCTGTAGGGCTGCTACTGGTCCTATAGGGCTGTTACTGGTCGTATAGGGCTGTTACTGGTCGTATAGGGCTGTTACTGGTCCTATAGGGCTGTTACTGGTCCTATAGGGCTATTACTGGTCCTATAGGGCTATTACTGGTCCTATAGGGCTGCTACTGGTCCTATAGGGCTATTACTGGTCCTATAGGGCTGTTACTGGTCCTATAGGGCTGCTACTGGTCCTATAGGGCTATTACTGGTCCTATAGGGCTGTTACTGGTCCTATAGGGCTGTTACTGGTCCTATAGGGCTATTACTGGTCCTATAGGGCTGCTACTGGTCCTATAGGGCTGCTACTGGTCCTATAGGGCTGCTACTGGTCCTATAGGGCTGCTACTGGTCCTATAGGGCTGTTACTGGTCCTATAGGGCTGCTACTGGTCCTATAGGGCTGCTACTGCTCCTATAGGGCTGTTACTGGTCCTATAGGGCTGCTACTGGTCCTATAGGGCTGTTACTAGTCCTATAGGGCTGCTACTGGTCCTATAGGGCTGTTACTGGTCCTATAGGGCTGCTACTGGTCCTATAGGGCTGCTACTTATGATTTAAAAAGCTAAACTGATCCTAGATCTGGACTCCTACTCTGATAAATTTGGTGGATACGGGCCCTGGCATTGATGACAACCCAGACAGCTAGTGAGGGTGTTTGAGGAGGTTAGGGAGTCCGGGGTTGTTTTTATGTAGATCTGTGTATCGTCAGCGTACCAGTGGAATTGGATAGCGTGTTTTCTGACTAGGAGAGGAAGGGGGAGCATGTAGACGATAGAGGAATAGAATCGGGCCTAAAACTGAGCCTTGAGGGATGCCAGAAGTGAATATGTGTATCTACTGTGTCCGTAGCTGTGTATCTACTGTGTCTGTAGCTGTGTATCTACTGTGTCTGTAGCTGTGTATCTACTGTGTCCGTAGCTGTGTATCTACTGTGTCCGTAGCTGTGTATCTACTGTGTCCGTAGCTGTGTATCTACTGTGTCTGTAGCTGTGTATCTACTGTGTCTGTAGCTGTGTATCTACTGTGTCTGTAGCTGTGTATCTACTGTGTCCGTAGCTGTGTATCTACTGTGTCCGTTAGCTTGTGTATCTACTGTGTCTGTAGCTGTGTATCTACTGTGTCTGTAGCTGTGTATCTACTGTGTCTGTAGCTGTGTATCTACTGTGTCCGTAGCTGTGTATCTACTGTGTCCGTAGCTGTGTATCTACTGTGTCCGTAGCTGTGTATCTACTGTGTCCGTAGCTGTGTATCTACTGTGTCTGTCGTGGGTGTTTCTGTGTCTAGCTCTGTAGTGTCAAATCTAATGTTATTTGTCACATTGCCTGGTATAGAGGTCCTGGATGGCAGGAAGCTTGGCCCCAGTGATGTACTGGGCCGTACGCACTACCCTCTGTAGCACCTTGCAGTCGGATGCCAAGCACTTGTCATACCAAGCGGTGATGCAGCCAGTCAAGATGCTCTCAATGGTGCAGCTGTAGAACTTTTTGAGGATCTGAGGGCTGATGCCAAATCTTTTCAGCCTCCTGAGGGGGAAGAGGCATTGTCGTGCCCTCTTCATGACTGTGTTGGTGTGTTTGGACCATGATAGGTCCTTAGTGATGTGGACACAGAGGAACTTGAAGCTTTTGACCCGCTCCACTACAGCCCCGTAAATGTGAATGGGGGCGTGCTCAGCCCTCCGTTTCCTGTAGTCCACGATCAGCTCCTTTGTCTTGCTGACGTTTAGGGAGCGGTGGTTGTCTCAGCACCACACGCCAGGTGTCTGACCTCCACCATATGATGGTGTTGGAGTCGTGCCTGGCCATGCAGTCATGGGTGAACAAGGAGTACAGGAGGGGACTGAGCACGCACCCCTGAGGGGCCCCCGTGTTGAGGGTCAGCATGGCGGAGGTGATGCTGCCTACCCACACCACCTGGGGGCGGCCCGTCAGGAAGTCCAGGATCCAGTTGCAGAGGGAGGTGACCCAGTCCCAGGGTCCTTAGCTTAGTGATGAGCTTTGAGGGCACTATGGTGTTGAACGCTGAGCTGTAGTCAATGAACAGCATTTTCACATAGTTGTTCCTTTTGTCCAGGTGGGAAAGGGCAGTGTGGAGTGCAATAGAGATCGCATTATCTGTGGCTCTGTTCTGGCGGTATGCGAATTGGAGTGGGTCCAGGGTGTCTGGGACGATGTTGTTGATGTGAGCCATGACCAGCCTTTCAAAGCATTTCATGGCTACAGACGTCAGTGCTACGGGGCGATAGTCATTTAGACAGGTTACCTTGGTGTTCTTGGGCACAGGGACTATGGTGGTCTGCTTGAAACATGTAGGTATTACAGACAGGGTAACTTACTGTGTATATGAACTTGAAAACTGCAATTGAATCCTTTTGTACTTTGTACAGTCTATTTAATGATCTTGAGGATGATGTGCTCATGATGCTGTTTTAATGTCTGTTTTTACGGGGGTGAAGCCAAAGATACATTTCCACATTGTGTGGACAATACAGTTTTTTATAATTTATATTTCAAATGTTGTAATAATAATAATAATATAATATGCCATTTAGCAGACGCTTTTATCCAAAGCGACTTACAGTCATGCGTGCATACATTTTTACATATGGGTGGTCCCGGGGATCGAACCCACTACCCTGGCGTTACAAGCGCCGTGCTCTACCAGCTGAGCTACAGAGAACCACAGTTTTGTAATTCTAAGAATGTGTCTATATCTGTAGTTTGGAGCACGTAGCCAAGATGAAGGCTACAGAGAGCATGAAGCCGAGAGACCTTCACAGACTGGGAGATGAGTACAACTCTATCTTCATCAGCACCGAGAGCTATAGGAGCGCCCGGCTGGCTGCTGGGGCCTGCTTCAATACAGTACAGGCTGTTCTGACGGGACAGGTAAAACACTACCTCCATCATGTAGAATAGACTGCGTGTTAACCTCTAACCCTGCTGGAAACCTTTTTGTGTATAGTGTCCGGTATATGGAACAGTTAAAGTGTTCCAATGGCACTCAGGCTACCTTTTGTGAGGACGTGGTTTCCTGAATTAATTACTTTAAGCCACACGTCACAAAATGCTTTGGGAAGCTTATATGAAGGCCTTAGAAAGGGGTTATAAATGCTTCATAAAGTCTTTGAAGTTGATGTTTGTTCCCCAAATACCCAGGTTTTCCAGAAATCCTGGTTGTAGAATTCCTGGATTTCCTGCTTATTTCCTCCTGATTCCAGGTATTTTCCAACCAGGATTTTTGGAAAACTAAGGAATTTTGGGGAAAGTCACTCGAATTTTGCAACCCTAATTATCAGACTGTTCTATGTCCGCCCCCCCCCCCTCCAGGTCCGTAATGGCGTGGCCATTGTGCGCCCCCCTGGTCACCATGCAGAGAAGGACGCTGCCTGTGGGTTCTGTTTCTTCAACACTGCTGCCCTGACTGCACGATACGCCCAGTCCATCTCCCAGCAGCCCCTGCGGGTCCTCATCCTGGACTGGGATGTTCACCATGGCAACGGAACACAGCACATCTTCGAAGAGGATGACAGGTACAGGGCCATGCCTGTTCCCTATCTTGACCAGGATCCAAAGGGCTTATGCTTATTCTCACCTCTTTTACTTTCTATTGGTTCATTTCAACTCTGGTTCTCATGTCTGTCCCCACCTCTGTCCCAATGTCTGTCCTCCAGTGTCCTCTACATGTCTCTAACCCTCTCCTTTGTCCTCCAGTGTCCTCTACATGTCTCTAACCCTCTCCTCTGTCCTCCAGTGTCCTCTACATGTCCCTAACTAACTCTAACCCTCTCCTCTGTCCTCCAGTGTCCTCTACGTGTCCCTAAACTAACTCTAACCCTCTCCTCTGTCCTCCAGTGTCCTCTACATGTCTCTAACCCTCTCCTCTGTCCTCCAGTGTCCTCTACATGTCCCTAACTAACTCTAACCCTCTCCTCTGTCCTCCAGTGTCCTCTACGTGTCCCTAACTAACTCTAACCCTCTCCTCTGTCCTCCAGTGTCCTCTACATGTCTCTAACCCTCTCCTCTGTCCTCCAGTGTCCTCTACATGTCCCTAACTAACTCTAACCCTCTCCTCTGTCCTCCAGTGTCCTCTACATGTCCCTAACTAACTCTAACCCTCTCCTCTGTCCTCCAGTGTCCTCTACATGTCCCTAACTAACTCTAACCCTCTCCTCTGTCCTCCAGTGTCCTCTACATGTCCCTAACTAACTCTAACCCTCTCCTCTGTCCTCCAGTGTCCTCTACATGTCTCTAACCCTCTCCTCTCTCCTCCAGTGTCCTCTACATGTCCCTAACTAACTCTAACCATGTCCTCCAGTGTCCTCTACATGTCCCTAACTAACTCTAACCCTCTCCTCTCTCCTCCAGTGTCCTCTACATGTCTCTAACCCTCTCCTCTGTCCTCCAGTGTCCTCTACATGTCCCTAACTAACTCTAACCCTCTCCTCTGTCCTCCAGTGTCCTCTACATGTCCCTAACTAACTCTAACCCTCTCCTCTGTCCTCCAGTGTCCTCTACATGTCCCTAACTAACTCTAACCCTCTCCTCTGTCCTCCAGTGTCCTCTACATGTCCCTAACTAACTCTAACCCTCTCCTCTGTCCTCCAGTGTCCTCTACATGTCTCTAACCCTCTCCTCTGTCCTCCAGTGTCCTCTACATGTCTCTAACCCTCTCCTCTGTCCTCCAGTGTCCTCTACGTGTCCCTAACTAACTCTAACCCTCTCCTCTGTCCTCCAGTGTCCTCTACATGTCCCTAACTAACTCTAACCCTCTCCTCTGTCCTCCAGTGTCCTCTACATGTCCCTAACTAACTCTAACCCTCTCCTCTGTCCTCCAGTGTCCTCTACATGTCTCTAACCCTCTCCTCTGTCCTCCAGTGTCCTCTACATGTCCCTAACTAACTCTAACCCTCTCCTCTGTCCTCCAGTGTCCTCTACATGTCTCTAACCCTCTCCTCTGTCCTCCAGTGTCCTCTACATGTCCCTAACTAACTCTAACCCTCTCCTCTGTCCTCCAGTGTCCTCTACATGTCCCTAACTAACTCTAACCCTCTCCTCTGTCCTCCAGTGTCCTCTACATGTCCCTGCATCGCTACGAGGATGGGACATTCTTCCCTACTTCAGAGGATGCGCACTACAACAGAGTGGGCGAGGGGAAGGGAGCAGGGTTCAACGTCAACATCCCCTGGAACGGAGCCAAGATGGGCGACGCAGAGTACCTGGCTGCCTTCCACTCAGTGGTCATGCCCATTGCTAGAGAGGTACAGCTGTTTGTCTATCTGTCTGTCAGTCTTGATGTTCCTTTTGATGGCGTGGAAGGCCCTTCTTGCCTTGTCTCTCAGATCGTTCACAGCTTTGTGGAAGTTACCTGTGGTGATGATGTTTAGGCCGAGGTATGTATCGATTTTTGTGTGCTCCAGGGCATTGGTCTTTAGATGGAATTTTTATATTTGTGGTCCTGGCAACTTTTTTTGAACACCATTATTTTTTGTCTTACTGACATATATTTTCAGGGCCCAGGTCTGACAGAATCTGTGCAGAATATCTAAGTGTTGCTGTAGGCCCTCCTTAGTTGGGGACAGAAGCACCAGATCATCAGCAAACAGTAGACATTTGACTTCAGATTCTAGTAGGGTGAGGCCGGGTGCTGCAGACTGTTCTAGTGCCCTCGCCAATTCGTTGATATATATGTTGAAGAGGGTGGGGCTCAAGCTGCATCCCTGTCTCACCCCACGGCCCTGAGGGAAGAAATGTGTGTGTTTTTTGCCATGTACTAATCTCCACCCGGCACAGCCAGAAGAGGACTGGCCACCCCTCAGAGTCTGGTTCCTCTCTAGGTTTCTTCCTAGGTTTCTGCCTTTCTAGGGAGTTTTTCCTAGCCACCGTGCTTCTACGTCTGCATTGCTTGCTGTTTGGTGTTTCTGTATAAGACCTTTGTGACATCTGCTGATGTAAAAAGGGCTTTATAAATACATTGGATTGGTTTGATTGACGCAGTGGTCATGCTCATCGCTATAGAGGTATATACTGTGGGGCTGTGACACTAATGCATACATGGACCATATAGTATAGTAGTATATACAGTGGGGAGAACAAGTATTTGATACACTGCCGATTTTGCAGGTTTTCCTACTTACAAAGCATGTAGAGGTCTGTAATTTTTATCATAGGTACACTTCAACTGTGAGAGAAGGAATCTAAAACAAAAATCCAGAAAATCACATTGTATGATTTTTAAGTAATTCATTTGCATTTTATTGCATGACATAAGTATTTGATACATCAGAAAAGCAGAACTTAATATTTGGTACAGAAACCTTTGTTTGCAATTACAGAGATCATACGTTTCCTGTAGGTCTTGACCAGGTTTGCACACACTGCAGCAGGGATTTTGGCCCACTCCTCCATACAGACCTTCTCCAGATCCTTCAGGTTTCGGGGCTGTCGCTGGGCAATACGGACTTTCAGCTCCCTCCAAAGATTTTCTATTGAGTTCAGGTCTGGAGACTGGCTAGGCCACTCCAGGACCTTGAGATGCTTCTTACGGAGCCACTCCTTAGTTGCCCTGGCTGTGTGTTTCGGGTCGTTGTCATGCTGGAAGACCCAGCCACAATCCATCTTCAATGCTCTTACTGAGGGAAGGAGGTTGTTGGCCAAGATCTCGCGATACATGGCCCCATCCATCCTCCCCTCAATACGGTGCAGTCGTCCTGTCCCCTTTGCAGAAAAGCATCCCCAAAGAATGATGTTTCCACCTCCATGCTTCACGGTTGGGATGGTGTTCTTGGGGTTGTACTCATCCTTCTTCTTCCTCCAAACACGGCGAGTGGAGTTTAGACCAAAAAGCTCTATTTTTGTCTCATCAGACCACATGACCTTCTCCCATTCCTCCTCTGGATCATCCAGATGGTCATTGGCAAACTTCAGACGGGCCTTGACATGCGCTGGCTTGAGCAGGGGGACCTTGCGTGCGCTGCAGGATTGTAATCCATGACGGCGTAGTGTGTTACTAAAGGTTTTCTTTGAGACTGTGGTCCCAGCTCTCTTCAGGTCATTGACCAGGTCCTGCCGTGTAGTTCTGGGCTGATCCCTCACCTTCCTCATGATCATTGATGCCCCACGAGGTGAGATCTTGCATGGAGTCCCAGACCAAGGGTGATTGACCGTCATCTTGAACTTCTTCAATTTTCTAATAATTGCGCCAACAGTTGTTGCCTTCTCACCAAGCTGCTTGCCTATTGTCCTGTAGCCCATCCCAGCCTTGTGCAGGTCTACAATTTTATCCCTGATGTCCTTACACAGCTCTCTGGTCTTGGCCATTGTGGAGAGGTTGGAGTCTGTTTGATTGAGTGTGTGGACAGGTGTCTTTTATACAGATAACGAGTTCAAACAGGTGCAGTTAATACACGTAATGAGTGGAGAACAGGAGGGCTTCTTAAAGAAAAACTAACAGGTCTGTGAGAGCCGGAATTCTTACTGGTTGGTAGGTGATCAAATACTTATGTCATGCAATAAAATGCAAATTAATTACTTACAAATCATACAATGTGATTTTCTGGATTTTTGTTTTAGATTCCGTCTCTCACAGTTTAAGTGTATCTATGATAAAAAATGACAGACCTCTACATGCTTTGTAAGTAGGAAAACCTGCAAAATCGGCAGTATATCAAATACTTGTTCTCCCCACTGTATATATACACTGTGGCATTTTAGCTTGCTAGTGATTGTTGATGTTTCCTTAGTGCTGCCAATTTCAAATCCAAAGAAATGCTCTCTCTCTCGCTCTCTCTCGCTCTCTCTGTTTTCTCTTTATTTCTCTCTCTCCCTCGTGCTAGTGAATTTCCCCTTGAGGATTGACATAATTAACTATCTATCGATCACCATCTATTAAAAACCTTGCAAAAGGATTTCGAGACTATTATACATGAGTAATATCATTTACTTATTGTTCCACTTTGTGTCAGTTCAGTTATCACATTAATGTTTCTTATATTTGTCTATTAAACAGTTATTTTCTTACCCCTCCCTCTCTGTAGTTTGACCCAGGCCTGGTGCTGGTGTCGGCAGGGTTTGATGCAGCCAGAGGAGACCCTCTGGGAGGGTACCAGGTGACCCCCCCGGGCTATGCCCACCTCACCCACCTCCTGATGGGACTCGCAGGCGGCAGAGTACTGGTCATCCTGGAGGTTAGTGGTCTGCATTAACATGCACGCACACACGCATACCTTTGATACAGTGGTAGCAATACATCGTTATAACATCTACAGAAAATGGGGGGGGGGGGGGGGGGTAGGTCTCGGATGGTTGAGGAGCAGCTCTTGGGGAACTGTGGGGGGGATCTTGGAGGGTTGGTGGCCTGGCGGTTGGGAGCTTGGGCTGGTGGCTGATGGATCGCTGGTTCAGGTCACCGTTTTTGACCTTGTGGGAGATCTGTCGACGTGCCCTTGAGCAAGGCGTTGACCCTGGTTGCTTCTGTGTGTCGTCTGGATGGGAGTCTGTTCGATGACTGATGTGATGTAGTTGTTGAGCGGCTTCACTGCAAGTAAATTGTATGTTTTAAATATTCAATAAATATTAAAATTAAAATAAAGTTTCCAAAGGATGTAGTGATCACAGTATAGTAGCCATATCTAGGAAAACCAAAGTTCCAAAGTCTGGGCCAAATATAGTGTATAAGAGGTCATACAAGAAATGTTGTGGTGATTGCTATGTTGATGATGTAAATAATATTTGTTTGGTCTGTGGTGTGTAATGAGGAGCAACCAGACGCTGCACTTTACCGCAGTCAAATTCCACGTGACCGTTTAACGGTAACTTGGCTTCTCCAAGCTCTGATGCTGCTGATGGTCATTTAGTAGCCAACCAAACATGCTAACTGCCTGGTACTCAGCACTCTACTGTCCCTCTAATCACTCTGACATCAGTGCAAATGTAATCGAAAATCTAATCAAACACTTCATGAGAGCCCATGAGCTCATGTTGCGCAACATTTCTATAGTCTATGCAATTGCATGAGAAAATAGTTTTGATGGCCTCTACTAAAAAGAGGAGGATCCCATCAGCTTTCTATAGGCTACTATATTTATTTCTCAACTTTCCTCATATTAAGCACATTGCTTCGCTACAGGAGTATAGCCTACCTGGCTGGCTTGTGTGCAGTAAGGCTAGGAATAGCGCATGCCTTTTTTTTTGCGACTTTTTCTAAATCATAGTCCCCCACCTCATGTAGCCTAGCCCATAGGCCTATATGTTTTAATAAGGTTTGTATCACAACTAAAGTCGCCAAATAACTTCGTAAAATCTAGCACATTAATCCGCTTTACAACCGGTGTAGAGCCTAACTGGCATACGTAGGCGGCGTGTGAGTTTCAAGTTTGGGGGAAGATAATTTTCACCATAAAAATGCACCTTTATAATAAAGCATTACATGCATAATCGCATTTTCGGTCACTTTTGAGATTGCTGTTTTTTGATTGCATTTTGGAACATTCGTGCTTATAGCACTACTGCCGTTGCTGCGCTTATAATGTGAAGAAATAGTTTATAAAAATGTTAAGCTAATTGTTCTGATCTGTTGTATCAGCCTCATTGCTTTTAAAATGTTTTTTGATGCTAGTGGTTGTATTAATTTGGGATCTATCGCATCCCACAACTGTCCCAGACTATGTTTGGAATATTTATTTCTCGCACAGAATAGAATAGGTCAACTTTAGTACTATGGGGGATAGTAGATTGACATAGGCTTTTGCTTTTGCTGTTCGTTAAGCCTACTCATCTTATTGGCTGACGAGAAGTAGATGTGGACAGTTCTTCTAACATCTTCAATATGCACCTCGGAATTGGATAAGAAGGACGCAGTTGCGTTCCCGATGTGTCTGTCTTCACTTGTAGCCCACTTTGGAACTGAGATGCCTGTGAGAAGGACCCGATCACGTGACGGGCATTGGCTAATAAGAATTGAGATATCTGAGAGAGCCATGTGAGTGAGAGGTGCTTCGGAGCACCGCGATTGACAGCAGGGAGAAGGGAATTATAATGATTATATATTCAGCCCAAGGGCACAACGGCCACTGGCCCGCAAACGGCATTGGCTTTTTTTAGGGGGCATTACGGCCACACAAGGGGGATGCTGCCGGGACGTTCGAGGCCTGGTGAGAATATTATCAAGTGCTTGTCAAATTGTGAATGAGAGACTGATGAAGTGTGTGCAGCCTCTGCGCAAGAAACAAATCCTCAAATCATCATTAGTCTCATTATGCAGCCTTAGAATGTATTATTAATCTAAACATTATCACAACTAAAGTTGCATAAATAACTCTAAATTTAGCATATACAGTGGGGAAAAAAAGTATTTAGTCAGCCACCAATTGTGCAAGTTCTCCCACTTAAAAAGATGAGAGAGGCCTGTAATTTTCATCATAGGTACACGTCAACTATGACAGACAAAATGAGATTTTTTTTCTCCAGAAAATCACATTGTAGGATTTTTAATGAATTTATTGGCATATGATGGTGGAAAATAAGTATTTGGTCAATAACAAAAGTTTCTCAATACTTTGTTATATACCCTTTGTTGGCAATGACACAGGTCAAACGTTTTCTGTAAGTCTTCACAAGGTTTTCACACACTGTTGCTGGTATTTTGGCCCATTCCTCCATGCAGATCTCCTCTAGAGCAGTGATGTTTTGGGGCTGTCGCTGGGCAACACAGACTTTCAACTCCCTCCAAAGATTTTCTATGGGGTTGAGATCTGGAGACTGGCTAGGCCACTCCAGGACCGTGAAATGCTTCTTACGAAGCCACTCCTTCGTTGCCCGGGCGGTGTGTTTGGGATCATTGTCATGCTGAAAGACCCAGCCACGTTTCATCTTCAATGCCCTTGCTGATGGAAGGAGGGTTTCACTCAAAATCTCACGATACATGGCCCCATTCATTCTTTCCTTTACACGGATCAGTCGTCCTGGTCCCTTTGCAGAAAAACAGCCCCAAAGCATGATGTTTCCAGCCCCATGCTTCACAGTAGGTATGGTGTTCTTTGGATGCAACTCAGCATTCTTTGTCCTCCAAACATGACGAGTTGAGTTTTTACCAAAAAGTTCTATTTTGGTTTCATCTGACCATATGACATTCTCCCAATCCTCTTCTGGATCATCCAAATGCACTTCAGACGGGCCTGGACATGTACTGGCTTAAGCAGGGGGACACGTCTGGCACTGCAGGATTTGAGTCCCTGGCGGCGTAGTGTGTTACTGATGGTTGGCTTTGTTACTTTGGTCCCAGCTCTCTGCAGGTCATTCACTAGGTCCCCCCGTGTGGTTCTGGGATTTTTGCTCACCGTTCTTGTGATCATTTTGACCCCATGGGGTGAGATCTTGCGTGGAGCCCCAGATCGAGGGAGATTATCAGTGGTCTTGTATGTCTTCCATTTCCTAATAATTGCTCCCACAGTTGATTTCTTCAAACCAAGCTGCTTACCTATTGCAGATTCAGTCTTCCCAGCCTGGTGCAGGTCTACAATTTTGTTTTTGGTGTCCTTTGACAGCTCTTTGGTCTTGGCCATTGTGAAGTTTGGAGTGTGACTGTTTGAGGTTGTGGACAGGTGTATTTTATACTGATAACAAGTTCAAACAGGTGCCATTAATACAGGTAACGAGTGGAGGACAGAGCAGCCTCTTAAAGATAGTTACAGGTCTGTGAGAGCCAGAAATCTTGCTTGTTTGTAGGTGACCAAATACTTATTTTCCACCATAATTTACAAATAAATTCATTAAAAATCCTTACAATGGGATTTTCTGGATTGTTTTTCCTCAATTTGTCTGTCATAGTTGACGTGTACCTATGATGAAAATTACAGGCCTCTCTCATCTTTTTAAGTGGGAGAACTTGCACAATTGGTGGCTGACTAAATACTTTTTTTCCCCACTGTAGGAGGACCTGATTCTTTGTTAACCGCTCAACACAGAATAGCCGAATGTGCGCATTTCCTCAGAAATCGTTTGGAGAAATTATCCTTTCTATTTTATTCAGCTTTGTTTAATTGTATTCTTCATACTATAAAATAATAAATAAATAATAATAATAAAATAATGCCACGGAAAGTCTGCTAAATGAAATAGCCCACAGCCATATGACATAGCCAGATCAGGGCCTAACATAAGGACAACTCAGAGTATGCTATTCTGTTCTTCTGAAATAGACTACATTTTCTTCATATCATGTTTCTTTAGACCTGTCTAAAATAAATACTGTATTTATTGTGAAGGTGTAGGCTATATCACATGGATTTAGTAGACTTTTTCAAATGTAGATGTTCCAAAGGTCTGCATCAGTGGCTTGTAGGCCAATGGGTGGAAGCCAAGAAATAGTAAACGTGTTTATGTTAATTAACGGTCAATTATCGTGAGACCGGCAGTTATTGGCTTGACGATACACCGGCTGACAAAATGTCATGACCGCCACAGACCTAGCCATGGCTACATGGAGCTATATTCCACATCAGGTAACTGATGCAAACAGTAGAATCAGATTTTATAAAACAGATAAAATATTGAACAGCGGGGACACATACACAGGCACAAACACACACACAAACACACACACACACACACACACACACACACACACACACACACACACACACACACACACACACACACACACACACACACACACACACACACACACACACACACACGCACGCACTCTACACACATGTGGATTTTGTATTGCAGATATCTGGTGTTAGAGTAGTGGCCTGAGGGCACACACTTAATGTGCTGTGATAAGTGTTATGAAAGGTAATGTCATGTAATATTTTTTATTGTATATATACAGTTTATTCAGAAAGTATTCAGACCCCTTGACTTTTTCCATATTTTGTTACGTTACAGCCTTATTCTAAAAATGATTAAATTGTTTTTTCCCCCTCATCAATCTACACACAATACCCCCATAATGACAAAGCAAAAAAATGAAAATTTACAATAAAAATGAAACATAACATTTACATAAGTATTCAGGCCCTTTACTCAGTACTTTGTTGAAGCACCTTTGGCAGCGATTACAGCCTCGAGTCTTCTTGGGTATGACGCTACAAGCTTGGCACACCTGTATTTGGGGAGTTTCTCCCATTCTTCTCTGCTGATCCTCTCAAGCTCTGTCAGGTTGGATGGGGAGCGTCGCTGCACACCTATTTTCAGGTCTCTCCAGAGATGTTCGATCGGGTTCAAGTCCGGGCTCTGGCTGGGCCACTCAAGGACATTCAAAGACTTGTCCCGAAGCCACTCCTGCGTTGGAAGGTGAACCTTGGCCCTTTTGGCAAACTCCAAGCGGGCTGTCATGTGCCTTTTACTGAGGAGTGGCTTCCGTCTGGCCACCCTACCATAAAGGCCTGATTTGTGGAGTGCTGCAGAGATGGTTGTCTTTCTGGAAGGTTCTCCCATCTCCACAGAGGAACTCTGGAGCTCTGTCAGAGTGACCATCGGATTCTTGGTCACCTCCCTGACCTAGGCTCTTCTCCCCCGATTGCTCAGTTTGGCCGGACGGCCAGCTCTAGGAAGAGTCTTGGTGGTTCCAAACTTCTTCCATTTTAGAATGATGGAGGCCGCTGTGTTCTTGGGGACCTTCAATGCTGCAGACAGTTTTTGGTACCCTTCCCCAGATCTGTGCCTCGACACAATCCTGTCTTGGAGCTCTACGGACAATTCCTTCGACCTCATGGCTTGGTTTTTGCTCTGACGTGCACTGTCAACAGTGGGACCTTATATAGACAGGTGTGTGCCTTTCCAAAACATGTCCAATAAATTTAATTTACCACAGGTGGGCTCCGATGAAGTTTTAGAAACATCTCTAGGATGACCAATGGAAACAGGATGCACCTGAGCTCAATTTCGAGTCTCCTAGCAAAGGGTCTGAATACTTATGTAAATAAGGTATTTCTGTTTTTTATTTTGTATACATTTGCAAAAATGTCTATAAACTAGTTTTCGCTTCGTCATTATGGGGTACTGTGTGTAGATTTATGAAAATATAAAAATATTTATTTTTATTTTAGAACAAGGCTGTAATGTAACAACATTTGGAAAAAGTCAAGGGGTCTGAATACTTTCCGAATGCACTGTAACTGCCTTAATGTTGCTGGACCCCAGGAAGAGTAGCTGCTGCCTTGGCAGGAACTAATGGGGATCCATAATAAACCCCAGGAAGAGTAGCTGCTGCCTTGGCAGGAACTAATGGGGATCCTTAATAAACCCCAGGAAGAGTAGCTGCTGCCTTGGTAGGAACTAATGGGGATCCATAATAAACCCCAGGAAGAGTAGCTGCTGCCTTGGCAGGAACTAATGGGGATCCATAATAAACCCCAGGAAGAGTAGCCGCTGCCTTGGCAGGAACTAATGGGGATCCATAATAAACCCCAGGAAGAGTAGCCGCTGCCTTGGCAGGAACTAATGGGGATCCATAATAAACCCCAGGAAGAGTAGCTGCTGCCTTGGCAGGAACCAATGGGGATCCTTAATAAACCCCAGGAAGAGTAGCTGCTGCCTTGGCAGGAACCAATGGGGATCCTTAATAAACCCCAGGAAGAGTAGCTGCTGCCTTGGCAGGAACCAATGGGGATCCTTAATAAACCCCAGGAAGAGTAGCTGCTGCCTTGGCAGGAACCAATGGGGATCCTTATTAAATACAAAATACACACACACCGTGGTGACTATCTGCTTTGCCATAAGTACATTTACATTAGTCATTTATTAGACACTCTTATCCAGTGCATTTATCTGAAGATAGCTAGATGAGACAACCACATACAGTTGAAGTCGGAAGTTTACATACACTTAGGTTGGAGTCATTAAAACTCGTTTTTCAACCACTACACAAATTTCTTCTTAACAAACTATAGTTTTGGCAAGTCGGTTAGGACATCTACTTTGTGCATGACACAAGTAATTTTTCCAACAATTGTTTACAGACAGATTATTTCACTTATAATTCACTGTATCACAATTCCAGTGGGTCAGAAGTTTACATACACTAAGTTGACTGCGCCTTTAAACAGCTTGGAAAATTCCAGAAAATGATGTCACGGCTTTAGAAGCTTCTGATAGGCTAATTGACATAATTTGAGTCAATTGGAGGTGTACCTGTGGATGTATTTCAAGGCCTACCTTCAAACTCAGTGCCTCTTTGCTTGACATCATGGGAAAATCAAAAGAAATAAGCCAAGACCTCACATTTTTTGTAGACCTCCACAAGTCTGGTTCATCCTTGGGAGCAATTTCCAAACGCCTGAAGGTACCACGTTCATCTGTACAAACAATAGTACGCAAGTATAAACACCATGGGACCACGTAGCCATCATACCGCTCAGGAAGGAGACGCGTTCTGTCTCCTAGAGATGAACGTACTTTGGTGCGAAAAGTGCAAATCAATCCCAGAACAACAGCAAAGGACCTTGTAAAGATGCTGGAGGAAACAGGCACAAAAGTATCTATATCCACAGTAAAACGAGTCCTATATCGACATAACCTGAAAGGCCGCTCAGCAAGGAAGAAGCCACTGCTCCAAAACCGCTATAAAAAAGCCAGACTACAGTTTGCAACTGCACATGGGAACAAAGATTGTACTTTTTGGAGAAATGTCCTCTGTTCTGAGGAAACAAAAATATAACTGTTTGGCCATAATGACTATCGTTATGTTTGGAGGAAAAAGGGGGATGCTAGCAAGCCGAAGAACACCATCCCAACCGTGACGCACGGGGTGGCAGCATCATGCTGTGGGGGTGCTTTGCTGCAGGAGGGACTGGTGCACTTCACAAAATAGATGGCATCATGAGGAAGGAAAATTATGTGGATATATTGAAGCAATATCTCAAGACATCAGTCAGGAAGTTAAAGCTTGGTCGCAAATGGGTCTTCCAAATGGACAATGACCCCAAGTATACTTCCAGAGTTGTGGCAAAATGGCTTAAGGACATCAAAGTCAAGGTATTGGAGTGGCCATCACAAAGCCCTGACCTCAATCCTATAGAACATTTGTGGGTAGAACTGAAAAAGCGTGTGCGAGCAAGGAGGCCTACAAACCTGACTCAGTTACACCAGCTCTGTCAGGAGGAATGGGCCAAAATTCACCCAACTTATTGTGGGAAACTTGTGGAAGGCTACCCGAAACGTTTGACCCAAGTTAAACAATTTTAAAGGCAATGCTACCAAATACTAATTGAGTGTATGTAAACTTCTAACCCACTGGGAATGTGATGAAATAAATAAAAAGCTGAAATAAATAATTCTCTCTACTATTATTCTGACATTTCACATAAAGTGGTGATCCTAACTGACCTAAGACAGGGAATGTTTTACTAGGATTAAATGTCAGGAATGGTGAAAAACTGAGTTTAAATGTATTTGGCTGAGGTGTATGTAAACTTCCGACTTCAACTGTATCACAGTCATATAAGTACATTTTTCCTCGAAGGAGCTATCAGCAAAGTCAGAGTAGGAAAGTGTTAAACATTCTCCCCCTCCTCCACTTACAGGGAGGTTATAACCTGACCGCCATCTCTGAGTCTATGTCTGCCTGCACCAGTATTCTCCTGGGAGACCCCCCTCTGTCCCTGCCTCCCCTGCCCCCCCCTCACCCCAACGCAGCAGTCAGCATCAACAATGTCATACGCACCCACGCCACCTACTGGCGGTCCCTCAGGATACAGCGTGAGTCCTGTTTCCCTGTCTCTGAACTTAATACCATGGGGAAATTAATACCATGGGGAACTTAGTACCATGGGGAACTTAATACCATGGGGAACTTAATACCATGGGGAACTTAATACCATGGGTATTACTTAATACCATGGGGGGAACTTAATACCATGGGGATTACTTAATACCATGGGGAACTTAATACCATGGGGAACTTAATACCATGGGTATTACTTAATACCATGGGGATTACTTAATACCATGGGGAACTTAATACCATGGGGAATTGTATACTGTGGGGATGTAATCTTTTCCTTGTGTTGTTTTCCCTCTAACCAGTTCCAGAGTCTCTCCGCCTGTCTCTGCCTTCTCCCAAACCCAGAGGGAAGAGGACCTCTAAGGGCAAGAAGTCTCCCAGACAGGGTAACCAGGGCGGGACCGGACAGGGTAACCAGGGCGGGACCAGCCCGGGTCAGGAGTCACCTCAGACAGCACCTCTGCCCTCTGGTGGTCGGGGCGACCATGACCTTGATGACCTCACAAAGGGACTGGTGTCACTCGACCTAAACCGAAGTACCTCAGCCAATCCCAGCCCAGCGTCTGTCCCATTGGGAGGGGCCAGATCGAAGGTGAGGCTCAGTCCTCTGAAGAACCCCGTTAAGGAGTTGAAGACGGAAGCTGTTCCAAGTACACCGGAGATTCTCCAACCAACACCTGACAAGACAGAGACACAGGTAACGAGTGTGAAGTCATGGTTACATCCCAAATGGCATCCTATTCCCTAGTCCACTACTCTGACCAGAGCCCTATCCAAAGTAGTGCACTATGTAGGGAATAGGGTGCCATTTTGGATGTAGCCTCTTGGCCAATATCCCTGTTTGTAGATAATGTCTGTACTTCTGTGTGAGCTCATGGTGTTTGATCAGCTGTACTGCAGGCCTGGACTCCGACCACCATCAGAAACAGACTGCCTGTTTATTTTCACCGCAAGGTTGTCAATGATTGAAAATGTGAACCTTTTCTCCTAATGACTGGCTAGATGAAATACATTGTTACTGAATTACCCTCCTAGGCGGTCGCCATGGCTTCCTCAGGCCCAGTTACCAAGGGAAACCAGGAGAGTGGTGCTGCGGCGGAGGAGGAAGGGGCGTCTGGTTACTCCAAGGAGCCGGTGTTTGAGCTGTTCTGTGGAGACCAGGACGTGGATGGGGTATAGACAATATGATTTCTATTTTCTCCTTTCATCTTAGTTGTGCATTTATCGAGTTGTTATCGGTAGATCAGGGGATCGAAACCCCTCCCTCTAAAATACCAACTGAAAGAAAAATAGTCTAACATCTCAGGGCGCTGAAGATGCTGAGATTTCATAACATATTGGTATTCTTGAGATACACATGTAACTTTTCAGTATTTTCAAGAGAGCAATTTCCGCTTGAGGCAGATAATTTTTTTTCCTTTTCTGTGTATTCTCCATGATGTGGTCGTGTCTCAGAGCACTATGTACGTGGTGGATCCCCTGTCCTGGTGCCCTCACCTAGACTCAGTGAAGCCTGTTCCGGCTGGAGGGATAGATGTGTTCCGGCCCTGTGAGGACTGTGGGACCGACGCTGAGAACTGGATCTGTCTCTGCTGTTACAAGGTACTGGAAACACAGAATACTTCCTCTTGTCTTAACCTCATATTCATCATCTCCAGTACCATACCAGTGTCTGCGTCTATCGCAATCACTTCTATTCATGTAGAATTTCATTTAACAACTGTATAAATTCTTTATCAACCACAAAGCAGCACTCTTCTTGGTATGGATAAATATATTGTTGGCAATAAGATAATACAATTAACTTTATTGTCCCCAATATGTCTTTGCCATCATAGCAAGATTGATGTAACATGCCATTCTCTGACTAGTGTTTTTCTCTTTGGCATGTCAAGGTGTACTGTGGTCGCTATGTCAACCAGCACATGATAACCCACGGCTTGGTGTCGGATCACCCTGTGGTGCTGAGCTTTGCTGACCTGTCGGTCTGGTGCTACCCCTGCCAGGCCTACGTCCACAACCAGGTGAGTGGAGGAGTGTGTGAGTGTGTGAGTGTGAGTGTGTGAGTGTGAGTGTGTGTGTGTGTGTGTGTGTGTGTGTGTGTGTGTGTGTGTGTGTGCGTGTGCGTGTGCTTGCGTGTCGGTCTGCTACTACTCCTGCCAGGCCTACGTCCACAACAGGAGACCAACAGTAAAATGCTGACTTACAGGGCCCTCCCAACAATGCAGAAAGTAAAACACGTAATAATAAATACACAATGAGTAACGACAACTTGGCTCTATACACGGGTGACCAGTACTGAGTCGATGTGGAGGGGTACGAGGTAATTGAGGTAGATATGTACATATAACTAGGGACAAAGTGACATAATAGACAGTAGCAGCAGCGTATGTGATGAGTCCAAAAAGTTAGTGCTAAAAGGTTCAATGCAGATAGTCCGGGTAGCTATGTAACTAACTATTGATCAGTCTTATGGCTTTGGGGTTTGAAACTGTTCAGGTTCCTGTTGGTTCCAGACTTGGTGCATCGGTACCGATTGCCGTGCGGTAGCAGAGAGAGCAGTCGATGACTTGGGTGGCTGGATTCTTCCTCTGACACCGCCTGGTATAGAGGTCCTGGATGGCAGGGGAGCTCGGCCCCAGTGATGTTCTGGGTCGTACACACTACCCTCTGTAGCGCCTTGCGGTCGGATGCCAAGCAGTTGTCATACCAGCCGGGTATGCAGTCAGTCAAGATGCTGTCAGTGGTGCGGCTGTATAACTTTTCTAAGATCTGAAGGCCCAATCTTTTCATCCTCCTGAGGTAGTACAGGAGGGGACTAAGCACACACCCCCGAGGGGCCCCCGTGTTCAGGGTTAGCGTGGCGGAAGTGTTGTTGCCTACCCTCACCACCTGGGGGCGGCCCGTCAGGGAGTCCAGGATCCAGTTGCAGAGGGAGGTGACCCAGTCCCAGGGTCCTTAGCTTAGTGATGAGCTTGGAGGCCACTATGGTGTTGAACGCTGAGCTGTAGTCAATGAACAGCATTCTCACGTAGGTGTTCCTTTTGTCCAGGTGGGAAAGGGCAGTGTGGAGTGCAATAGAGATTGCATCATCTGTGGATCTGTTGGGGCGGTATGCAAATTGGAGTGGGTCCAGGGTTTCTGGGATAATGGTGTTGATGTGTGTCATGACCAGTGTTACAGGCTTTGGACGTTAGCACGTGGGGCGCACCAATTAGTGTCACCTCGTTAGTCAGTATGTGTTACACCTGTGCCGGCTTGTCCATCACGTTAGTCGGAAGGTGTTTCACCTGTGCTGTCCCAGGTGATATTTAAGAGTGGCTGGCCCAGTGGTCCAGTGGTCTTGAGAGATGTGGAGGGTTAACACCTTTAGTTGGCTCTTCCTATTTGATTTCTAGTCAAACAATCCTTTATCTGATCTTCCCTGATTTCATCTTGCGCCACTTGTTGATTTGCTTCCTGTTTTTCAGTTGTTGTTTTTTTTCTTTGGATTGACTCTTCTTGGGCAAATTTAGTGGGCGCTCATGGTGGGTATCTTTTAGGTTCCAGTTGTTGTTGCTAGTCAACTTTCAGTGGACACCCCCATGAGTGTCTTTCAGAACCCCTCCTAAAACCCAACCTGTTTCGTTGAGGTTGTTGTCAGTGACTCTTTGTTAGTTCCCATTTCTATTTGAGCACCAATTTCTGGTTTTCTTGCTGGGGAACGTAACAACAACCTTTCAAAGACACCAGCCTTGACAACAGACTTTCAGCACGCTTATAGGGAAGGACATTCAACAAGCACAGCACTTACACAAATGACTGATGATTGGTTGAGAGAAATTGATGATAAAAAGATTGTGGGAGCTGTTTTGTTAGACTTCAGTGCAGCTTTTGACATTATCGATCATAGTTTGCTGATGGAAAAACATATGTGTGTTATGGCTTTACACCCCCTGCTTATATGGTGGATAAAGAGTTACCTGTCTAACAGAACACAGAGGGTGTTCTTTAATAGAAGTCTCTCCAACAAAATCCAGGTAGAATCAGGAATTCCTCAGGGCAGCTGTCTAGGCCCCTTTCTTTTTTCAGTCTTTACTAACGACATGATACTGGCTTTGAGTAAAGCCTGTGTGTCTATGTATGCGGATGACCCAACACTATACACGCCAGCTACCACAGCGACTGAAATGACAGCAACACTTAACAAAGAGCTGCAGTTAGTTTCAGAGAGGGTGGCAAGGAATAAGTTAGTCCTAAATATTTCAAAAATTAAAAGCGTTGTATTTGGGACAAATCATTCACTAAACCCTGAACCTCACCTAAATCTTGTAGTGAATAATGTGGAAATTGAGCAAGTTGAGGTGACTAAACTGCTTGGAGTAACCCTGGATTGTAAACTGTCATGGTCAAAACATATTGATACAACAGTAGCTAGGATGGGGAGAAGTCTGTCCATAATAAAGCGCTGCTCAGCCTTCTTAACAGCACTATCAACAAGGCAGGTCCTACAGGCCCTAGTTTTGTCGCACCTGGAAGACTGTTCAGTCGTATGGTCAGGTGCCACAAAGAGGGACTTAATAACATTGCAATTGGCTCAGAACAGGGCAGCATGGCTGGCCCTTGGATGTACACAGAGAGCTAACATTAATAATATGCATGTCAATCTCTCCTGGCTCAAAGTGGAGGAGAGATTGACTTCATCACTACTTGTATTTATGAGAGGTATTGACATGTTGAATGCACCGAGCTGTCTGTTTGAACTACTGGCACACAGCTCGGACACCCATGTCTACCCTACAAGACATGCCACCAGAGGTCTCTTCACAGTCCCCAAGTCCAGAACAGACTATGGGAGGCGCACAGTACTACATAGAGCCATGACTACATGGAACTCTATTCCACATCAAGTAAGTCATGCCAGCAGTAAAATTAGATTTAAAAAAAACAGATAAAAATACACCTTATGGAACAGCGGGGACTGTGAAGCTGGTGAGTCCATAGTGTTCTATATCTATCAGTGAGTCTCTGCTGGTGAGTCCATAGTGTTCTATATCTATCAGTGAGTCCTCTATATCTATCAGTGAGTCCATAGTGTTCTATATCTATCAGTGAGTCTCTGCTGGTGAGTCCATAGTGTTCTATATCTATCAGTGAGTCTCTGTTGGTGAGTCCATAGTGTTCTATATCTATCAGTGAGTCCATAGTGTTCTATATCTATCAGTGAGTCTCTGCTGGTGAGTCCATAGTGTTCTATATCTATCAGTGAGTCTCTGCTGGTGAGTCCATAGTGTTCTATATCTATCAGTGAGTCCATAGTGTTCTATATCTATCAGTGAGTCCATAGTGTTCTATATCTATCAGTGAGTCCATAGTGTTCTATATCTATCAGTGAGTCTCTGCTGGTGAGTCCATAGTGTTCTATATCTATCAGTGAGTCCATAGTGTTCTATATCTATCAGTGAGTCCATAGTGTTCTATATCTATCAGTGAGTCCATAGTGTTCTATATCTATCAGTGAGTCCATAGTGTTCTATATCTATCAGTGAGTCCATAGTGTTCTATATCTATCAGTGAGTCCATAGCGTTCTATATCTATCAGTGAGTCTCTGTTGGTGAGTCCATAGTGTTCTATATCTATCAGTGAGTCCATAGTGTTCTATATCTATCAGTGAGTCTCTGCTGGTGAGTCCATAGTGTTCTATATCTATCAGTGAGTCTCTGCTGGTGAGTCCATAGTGTTCTATATCTATCAGTGAGTCCATAGTGTTCTATATCTATCAGTGAGTCCATAGTGTTCTATATCTATCAGTGAGTCTCTGCTGGTGAGTCCATAGTGTTCTATATCTATCAGTGAGTCCATAGCATTCTATATCTATCAGTGAGTCTCTGTTGGTGAGTCCATAGTGTCCTATATCTATCAGTGAGTCCATAGTGTTCTATATCTATCAGTGAGTCCATAGTGTTCTATATCTATCAGTGAGTCCATAGTGTTCTATATCTATCAGTGAGTCCATAGTGTTCTATATCTATCAGTGAGTCCATAGTGTTCTATATCTATCAGTGAGTCTCTGCTGGTGAGTCCATAGGGTTCTATATCTATCAGTGAGTCCATAGTGTTCTATATCTATCAGTGAGTCCATAGTGTTCTATATCTATCAGTGAGTCCATAGTGTTCTATATCTATCAGTGAGTCCATAGTGTTCTATATCTATCAGTGAGTCTCTGCTGGTGAGTCCATCGTGTTCTATATCTATCAGTGAGTCTCTGTTGGAGAGTCCATAGTGTTCTATATCTATCAGTGAGTCCATAGTGTTCTATATCTATCAGTGAGTCCATAGTGTTCTATATCTATCAGTGAGTCTCTGCTGGTGAGTCCATAGTGTTCTATATCTATCAGTGAGTCTCTGTTGGTGAGTCCATAGTGTACTATATCTATCAGTGAGTCTCTGTTGGTGAGTCCATAGTGTTCTATATCTATCAGTGAGTCCATAGTGTTCTATATCTATCAGTGAGTCTCTGCTGGTGAGTCCATAGTGTTCTATATCTATCAGTGAGTCCATAGTGTTCTATATCTATCAGTGAGTCTCTGCTGGTGAGTCCATAGTGTTCTATATCTATCAGTGAGTCCACAGTGTTCTATATCTATCAGTGAGTCCATAGTGTTCTATATCTATCAGTGAGTCTCTGCTGGTGAGTCCATAGTGTTCTATATCTATCAGTGAGTCTCTGTTGGTGAGTCCATAGTGTTCTATATCTATCAGTGAGTCCATAGTGTTCTATATCTATCAGTGAGTCCATAGTGTTCTATATCTATCAGTGAGTCTCTGCTGGTGAGTCCATAGCGTTCTATATCTATCAGTGAGTCTCTGCTGGTGAGTCCATAGTGTTCTATATCTATCAGTGAGTCCATAGCGTTCTATATCTATCAGTGAGTCCATAGTGTTCTATATCTATCAGTGAGTCCATAGTGTTCTATATCTATCAGTGAGTCCATAGTATTCTATATCTATCAGTGAGTCCATAGCGTTCTATATCTATCAGTGAGTCCATAGTGTTCTATATCTATCAGTGAGTCCATAGTGTTCTATATCTATCAGTGAGTCTCTGCTGGTGAGTCCATAGTGTTCTATATCTATCAGTGAGTCTCTGCTGGTGAGTCCATAGTGTTCTATATCTATCAGTGAGTCTCTGTTGGTGAGTCCATAGTGTTCTATATCTATCAGTGAGTCTCTGCTGGTGAGTCCATAGTGTTCTATATCTATCAGTGAGTCCATAGTGTTCTATATCTATCAGTGAGTCCATAGTGTTCTATATCTATCAGTGAGTCTCTGCTGGTGAGTCCATAGTGTTCTATATCTATCAGTGAGTCTCTGTTGGTGAGTCCATAGTGTACTATATCTATCAGTGAGTCTCTGCTGGTGAGTCCATAGTGTTCTATATCTATCAGTGAGTCCATAGTGTTCTATATCTATCAGTGAGTCCATAGTGTTCTATATCTATCAGTGAGTCCATAGTGTTCTATATCTGTCAGTGAGTCTCTGCTGGTGAGTCCATAGTGTTCTATATCTATCAGTGAGTCTCTGCTGGTGAGTCCATAGCGTTCTATATCTATCAGTGAGTCTCTGCTGGTGAGTCCATAGTGTTCTATATCTATCAGTGAGTCCATAGCGTTCTATATCTATCAGTGAGTCCATAGTGTTCTATATCTATCAGTGAGTCCATAGTGTTCTATATCTATCAGTGAGTCTCTGCTGGTGAGTCCATAGTGTTCTATAACTATCAGTGAGTCTCTGCTGGTGAGTCCATAGCGTTCTATATCTATCAGTGAGTCCATAGTGTTCTATATCTATCAGTGAGTCCATAGTGTTCTATATATATCAGTGAGTCTCTGCTGGTGAGTCCATAGTGTTCTATATCTATCAGTGAGTCCATAGTGTTCTATATCTATCAGTGAGTCCATAGTGTTCTATATCTATCAGTGAGTCCATAGTGTTCTATATCTATCAGTGAGTCCATAGTGTTCTATATCTATCAGTGAGTCTCTGCTGGTGAGTCCATAGTGTTCTATATCTATCAGTGAGTCTCTGCTGGTGGGTCCATAGTGTTCTATATCTATCAGTGAGTCCATAGTGTTCTATATCTATCAGTGAGTCTCTGCTGGAGAGTCCATAGTGTTCTATATCTATCAGTGAGTCCATAGTGTTCTATATCTATCAGTGAGTCCATAGTGTTCTATATCTATCAGTGAGTCCATAGTGTTCTATATCTATCAGTGAGTCCATAGTGTTCTATATCTATCAGTGAGTCTCTGCTGGTGAGTCCATAGTGTTCTATTCTATCAGTGAGTCTTGCTGGTGGGTCACCATACTAGTGTTCTATATACCGATCAGTGAGTCTCTGCTGGTGAGTCCATAGTGGTTCTATATCTATCAGTGAGTCTCTGCTGGTGAGTCCATAGTGTTCTATATCTATCAGTGAGTCTCTGCTGGTGAGTCCATAGTGTTCTATATCTATCAGTTGAGTCCATAGTGTTCTATATCTATCAGTGAGTCCATAGTGGTCTATATCTATCAGTGAGTCTCTGCTGGTGAGTCCATAGTGTTCTATATCTATCAGTGAGTCTCTGCTGGTGAGTCCATAGTGTTCTATATCTATCAGGGAGTCTCTGCTGGGTGAGTCATAGTGTTCTATATCTATCAGTGAGTCCATAGTGTTCTATATCTATCAGTGAGTCCATAGTGTTTATATCTATCAGTGAGTCTCTGATGGTGAGTCCATAGTGTTCTATATCTATCAGTGCAGTCCATAGTGTTCTATATCTATCAGTGAGGTCCATAGTGTTCTATATCTATCAGTGAGTCTCTGCTGGTGAGTCCATAGTGTTCTATATCTATCAGTGAGTCTCTGTTGGTGAGTCCATAGTGTACTATATCTATCAGTGAGTCTCTGTTGGTGAGTCCATAGTGTTCTATATCTATCAGTGAGTCCATAGTGTTCTATATCTATCAGTGAGTCTCTGCTGGTGAGTCCATAGTGTTCTATATCTATCAGTGAGTCCATAGTGTTCTATATCTATCAGTGAGTCCATAGTGTTCTATATCTATCAGTGAGTCTCTGCTGGTGAGTCCATAGTGTTCTATATCTATCAGTGAGTCTCTGCTGGTGAGTCCATAGCGTTCTATATCTATCAGTGAGTCCATAGCGTTCTATATCTATCAGTGAGTCCATAGTGTTCTATATCTATCAGTGAGTCCATAGTGTTCTATATCTATCAGTGAGTCTCTGCTGGTGAGTCCATAGTGTTCTATATCTATCAGTGAGTCTCTGCTGGTGAGTCCATAGTGTTCTATATCTATCAGTGAGTCTCTGCTGGTGAGTCCATAGTGTTCTATACACTACCGTTCAAAAGTTTGGGGTCACTTAGAAATGTCCTTGGTTTCGAAAGAAAAGCAGTTTTTTTTGTCCATTAAAATAACAACAAATTGATCAGAAATACAGTGTAGACATTGTTAATGTTGTAAATGGATATTGGAGCTGGAAACGGCAGATTTTTAATGGAATATCTACATACGTACAGAGGCCCATTATCAGCAACCATCAGTCCTGTGTTCCAATGGCACGTTGTGTTTGCTAATTCAAGTTTATCATTTTAAAAGGCAAATTGACCATTTTGCAATTATGATAGCACAGCTGAAAACTGTTGTGCTGATTAAAGAAGCAATACAACTGGCCTTCTTGAGACTAGTTGAGTATTTGGAGCATCAGCAATTGTGGGTTCGATTACAGGCTCAAAATGGCCAGAAATAAAGAACATTCTTCTGAAACTCGTCAGTCTATTCTTGTTCTGAGAAATGAAGGCTATTCCATGTGAGAAATTGTTAAGAAACTGAAGATCTCGTACAAAGCTGTGTACTACTCCCTTCACAGAACAGCGCAAACTGGCTCTAACCAGAATAGAAAGAGGAGTGGGAGGCCCCGGTGCACAACTGAGCAAGAGGACAAATTCATTAGAGTGTCTAGTTTGAGAAACCGAAGCCTCACGGGTCCTCAACTGGCAGCTTCATTAAATAGTACCCACAAAACACCAGTTTCAACATCTACAGTGGTCCTCTGTAGCTCAGCTGGTAGAGCACGGCGCTCGTAACGCCAAGGTAGTGGGTTCGAACCCCGGGACCACCCATACACAAAAAAAGAATGTATGCACCTATGACTGTAAGTCGCTTTGGATAAAAGCGTCTGCTAAATGGCTTATTATTATTATTATTATTATTATTATTATTATTATTATTATTATTATTATTATTATTATAACAGTGAAGAGGCGACTCCGGGATGCTGACCTTCTAGGCAGAGTTGCAAAGAAAAAGTCCAGTGTCTGTGTTCTTTTGCCCATCTTAATCATTTCGTTTTATCGGCCAGTCTGAGGTATGGCTTTTTCTTTGCAACTCTTCCTAGGTCAGCATCTACAGAGGCTAAGCCGTATCTGGTAGGATCGGAGTGGGACACTTTCTTTCTAAGAGAGGTTTTAGCCCGGGGATAAGAGAGTTCACACTTGGTAAAGCACCAACCTTAGTCCAGCTAGCTGGGCCTGCTCTGGAGAAGGGTTGGCACCTACTTTTCGGGGCTAGCCAATCAGTTGGATTGTTACCCAATTCGAATATTCTACTCCAGAAAAGTGGCAGTTGGTTTCAGTTAACTCTGCTTGTGTGAAGCTAGCACAGGGCCAGTCGTAGACCGGGCGGGGCTCGGAACAATGCCTTTTCTTTATTATGTTATAACTTTTACCACAGCGTTAATATTCCCCTCATCTTTAATTCATGTCTGTTTCTCTTCTTTGTCTCTCTGTCCTGCCTTCTACCTGTTGTCCAGGTGGTGTTTGAAGCCAAGAACGCTGCTCACTGTGTGAAGTTTGGAGAGGACATGCCCCTCTCTAACTAAAGCCATAGAGGGAGGACGACACAGAGAGAGAGGACGTGGAACATATGTTGTTGTGAAAGCAAAATATAAAAGACCACTGTTCTGGTCTCGGTGCTATTGTTAGTGGCTCTGCCTGCGGCAGACAGGAGTGTGCTTAAAATAGCTCGCGCTCTCTCTAAGCAGAATTGCTAGCGAGAGCAGCTAGACTGGGCGTTAGGTAGAGGAGAAGAGCGAGAAGCGAGGGATGGATAGAAGAGAGTAGAGTAGAGAGAGAAGAGAGAGAAAAAAAGAGGAGAGAGAGGAGAAAAGATAGAGAGAGGCATCAAAAATAGGACGATCGCCGGAGATGGCCCCTCCCTCGCAAAAACATACTTCTCTTAGATACTCTCTAGCTCTCTCTCTCTCCCCCCCTCTTCTCTCTCTCTCTATGCCCCCCTCTTCTCTCTCTCTCTCTCCCCTTCTCTCCTCTCTCTCTCTCTCTCCTCTCTCTCTTTCTTCTCTCCCCCCTCCCCAGCAGAATGTCAAGAGTACAGTACCATCAAGCACAACATGTATCAGACCAGTCCAGAACGTGGTCTAAATGTTGATTATGTTGGCTTAAATATTAGTGCCAACATCAATCATACATTATTGGAAATATCATCATCTTTGTTTTATATACATTGGACTGTTCAGAGTTCTTTGTATTTGCCAAAACCTCTCGCATCCAAAATATATGTATATGAAGCTATACTCAGTTTTCACTGTGCTTTCTTCATTTAGCTAACCTCACTGTGGTTTATTTAGCTAACCTCACTGTGGTTCATTTAGCTAACCTCACTGTTCTTCATTTAGCTAACCTCACTGTACTTCATTTAGCTAACCTCACTGTGCTTCATTTAGCTAACCTCACTGTGCTTCATTTAGCTAACCTCACTGTGCTTCATTTAGCTAACCTCACTGTGCTTCATTTAGCTGTCCTCACTGTGCTTCATTTACAATGAGTCACTTCACTTGGTGTAGTAGGCTAAATAAAGTGTGCGTTCCAAATGGCACCCTGTTCCCTATAAAGGGCCCAGGCTCTGGTCAAAAGTAGTGCACTATATAGGGAATAGGGTGCCATTCTCTGGTCTAAAGTAGTGCACTATATAGGGAATAGGGGGCCATTTGGGACGTACACCGTTCAGTTTGGTTTTTACCTGCGAAGACTTTTCACCAGAAGCAGGACAAAGCTAGCTTATTTTAACTCCGTAGTTGTTTCTTGCATGTAGTAATACCAATGGTTAATTCACCAGCACAGCTGGCCAGCCAAGTTAAGTACTATTGTCCCCCAAGATGAAGTCAGGGAGGGGACTGTGGATCTGTCTCCGGATCTGTTCGTACGTTAGTCACACGCAATATCTCAGCACTGGCCCGATTTTAAAGAAACTTGGGTGAATGATGTGTCTAACCATAGATTGGCCAGATGGTAGTGCTATAACCATAGATTGGCCAGATGGTGGTGCTATAACCATAGATTTGGCCAGATGGTAGCGCTATAACCATAGATTGGCCAGATGGTGGCGCTATAACCATAGATTGGCCAGATGGTGGCGCTATAACCATAGATTGGCCAGATGGTCTCTATAACCATAGATTGGCCAGATGGTCTCTATAACCATAGATTGGCCAGATGGTCGCTATAACCATAGATTGGCCAGATGGTCGCTATAACCATAGATTGGCCAAATGGTGGTGCTATAACCATAGATTGAAAATGCAAACTTTGTAAGGCCACGCCTCTCACCCCGTTTGACCTAAAGTCATTAAACTCGGTACGTAAAGTCCCTCTCCTCCATAAGAAATACATTTGCCTCATCGACCCATAATGTCCGCCATGATGGATTTTTCCACCATTTTGAATTTGTGTGAAGAACACTTAAAACGCCATTTCTTCTGGCACCAAATGACCGATCTGCACGAAACTTGATATGTGATATTTATGGACGAAAGTCTCTTTAACGCAGTATTTTCCAGACTAGTAGCTAAAACAACATGGACGCCATTGACCAATAAACATTAATGTGGGCGTGGTCTGGCACATAAATGCATGTAAATCAGTCAAGGATATTCGTAGTGTAACACGTGTTGCAAACACTGTCAAGACTCAACATGTGCAAGAACATTCAGTATCGACCACACGGTGGCGCTATAACGGGCACGAGTTTATATCTCTTGATCTGTTTGACTCAAGAGTGCGGAAATTTTTGGCACACATACTCAGGGAATTGAGTCTAGCTAACACACGCTATATCGATTTTGACGAAGCTTGGGTGAATGATGCGTCTTGCCGTAGATATCCGGCATTTATAAAATAACACTGATTGGCCCAAGGGGGGCGCTGCATCATTCGTGGGGGACTACATGTTTAGTGTTGCCTTTTTGATCATGGTTAGTAATACACCCAGCAGTCATACTAAGGGCGTCAGGTAGCTTAGGGGTTAAGAGCGTTGTGCCAGTAACCGAAAGGTCGCTGGTTCTAATCCCCGAGCCGACTAGGTGAAAAATCTGTCGATGTGCCCTTGAGCAAGGCACTTAACCCTAATTGCTCCTGTAAGTAGCTCTGGATAAGAGCGTCTGCTAAATGACCAATTTATTTTTTATTATTTTATTTATCATACGAGACAGAACTTACTTACCAAGCTGTCACCAAGCTGTCTTTCTTGCAAGACTGATTGGAGAGGCCGTGTGGAGGCCTCTGTCCTCTATCTGATTGGAGAGGCCGTGTGGAGGGCTCTGTCCTCTATCTGATTGGAGAGGCCGTGTGGAGGGCTCTGTCCTCTATCTGATTGGAGGGGCCGTGTGGAGGGCTCTGTCCTCTATCTGATTGGATGAGGACGTTGTGGAGGCTCTGTCCCTATATTTTGATTGGAGAGGCGTGTGAGGGCCTCTGTCCCCTATCTGATTGGAGAGGCCGTGTGGAGGGCTCTGTCCTCTATCTGATTGGGAGAGGGCCCTGTGGAGGGCTCTTGGGCCTCTTTTGATTGGAGGGCCGTGTGGAGGGCTCTGTTTCCCCTATCTGATTGGAGAGGCCGTGTGGGGCCTCTGTCCTCATCGATTGGAGGGCCGTGTGGAGGGCTTGTTCTCTATTGATTGGAGGAGGCCCTTGGGGCCTCTGTCTGATTGGAGAGGCCGTGTGGAGGGCTCTGTCCTTTTGATTTGGGGGGCCGTGTGGAGGGCTCTGTCCTCTATCTGATTGGAGAGGGGCCCTGTGGAGGGGCCCCTGTCTGATTGGGAGGGCCGTGTGGAGGGGGTCTTCCTCTATTGATTGGAGGGGCGTGTGGAGGGCTCTGTCTCTATCTGATTTGGAGAGGCGTGTGGAGGGCTCTGTCCTCTATCTGATTGGAGGGGCCGTGTGGAGGGCTCTGTCCTCTATCTGATTGGAGAGGCCGTGTGGAGGCCTCTGTCTGATTGGAGAGGCCGTGTGGAGGGCTCTGTCCTCTATCTGATTGGAGGGGCCGTGTGGAGGGCTCTGTCCTCTATCTGATTGGAGAGGCCGTGTGGAGGGCTCTGTCCTCTATCTGATTGGAGGGGCCGTGTGGAGGGCTCTGTCCTCTATCTGATTGGAGAGGCCGTGTGGAGGGCTCTGTCTTGATTGGAGGCCGTGTTGGAGGGCTCTGTCCTCTATCTGATTGGAGAGGCCGTGTGGAGGGCTCTGTCCTCTATCTGATTGGAGAGGCCGTGTGGAGGCCTCTGTCCTCTATCTGATTGGAGAGGCCGTGTGGAGGCCTCTGTCCTCTATCTGATTGGAGAGGCCGTGTGGAGGGCTCTGTCCTCTATCTGATTGGAGAGGCCGTGTGGAGGCCTCTGTCCTTTTTCTTTCGCTCATTTCTTTCTTGTTTCTATTTTCACGTTGGAGGGCTAACACGTTGTTATTGTGGTTATAGATATACTAACACGTTGTTATTGTCCCCCACGATGAAATCGGAGGGGGTGGGGTGGGGGGTACTGGATCTGTCTCCGTCCATTCGTACATTAGTCACACGCAATATCTCAGACACCTCTCGACCGGAATTTGACGAAACTTGAGTGATGCGTCTTGCCATAGAGATCCGGCATTTAAAAAAAAAATCACAAGGGGTCGCTATAGTAATCAACTGAAATTCCAAACGTTGAACATGCGCTCCGTCATTGGTGGGGGACGACATGTTTACCGTTGCCTTTGTTGTATTTATATTTATTGGTTGCATGCATCACCCTCAAACCTCTCTCATTTAAAGCAATATGTTATATAGCAATATTATTACGTTTCTGATCATTGATATCCTATGACTGTTCAATTGTATTATTATAGTCATTTTTCCCCTGTTCTTTACTTTCTCTGTCTAAAGCACAATACATTGTATACTGTAGTACTTTGCTTTTTATTATGGAAACTGAATCATTGTAACTTATGGTAACTCTTGTAAACAAAATATGTTTTGTGTAACTTTTTTTAATGTTCGGCAATGTGCCGTTATGGTTTGAAATTGTAATACTTTTAAGAATGATCTCTTCAGTGTTTTTGTGTGCAGGAGTTTGTTTGACAATATGATGTTCCATAATGACTGTTTTACCCCTGTGCTTAGTGAGCCTGCCAGTGGCCATTTCATTCAATTCATGTACTTATTTATACGGGATAATATATTTCAAGTGTACAGTTTAGGAACAATACATTGCAATTCAGAAAAACCTGAGGCCTTATCAGTAGATCTACTGATTTTCAGAGGGTCCCTGTGCTGCAGAGGGGAGAACATACTTTTTTAAAGAATGGCCATTGAGGGCTTCCACCATTTTAAAAGTAGTCAACTGGGTGGAGATTCCTATGGTTTGGGAGTGTTTAGCCAATGATCAGAGCATTGTCTTCTTCAAATTGGGTTGCCTATGGTTAGTAAATGGCTTTAAGTTATATCATATTTATTGTGTCCACCATATCTAATGGACACGAACCGAATGACACAAGGTTTGCACTTTTTTCAAACACACAAGAAGTAATGTAATTGCCTACTTTAAAATGGAGATGGCCTCAATGGTGCTGCCCATGCTGTCAGACACCAGATAGAAAGATGAGATACTATCTAATTCCATGGAGAGAAGTTAAGCAAAGGGAAGGAAAACAAGAACAGTAGATGGAGAGTATTAATAGAGGAGATGGATAGTATTACTAGAGGAGATGGATAGTATTACTAGAGGAGATGGAGAGTATTACTAGAGGAGATGGAGTATTATTAGAGGAGATGGAGAGTATTATTAGAGGAGATGGAGAGTATTACTAGAGGAGATGGATAGTATTATAGAGATGATGTATCTTCTAGAGGGATGGAGGTTATTAGAGGAGATGGAGACGTCTTTTAGAGCATGGGAGTATTTTACGAAGCGCTGGCGCGTCTTCTTCGCGGCATGTGATACTTTATTGGGCGCTGTGGCTCTTATTCGCGGCGCTGGGGGTCTTTTATCCGCGGCGATGCTATCTTCGCGGGTGTGGCGTCTTTCTGCGATGCGATGGAGGTATTCTTCGGAGCTGGAGAGTCTTCCTTTGCGGCCTGGCGCTTCTTCTTCGCGGCGCTGGCGTGGTCTTCTTCAGGCGCTGGCGCGTCTTTTCGGCGTTTGGTTTATTCTCCGACGCGCTGGAGCTATTCTTGCGGCCTGGGCGTCTTCTTGAGGGCGCTGGAGGTCTTCTTAGCGGCTGGGCTGTCTTCTTTGCGGCTGGCGGTCTCTTCGCGGCGCCTGGTCGTCTTCTTCGCGGCGCTGGTCGTCTTCCCTCGCGGCGCGGCGCGCTTCCTCCGCGCGCTGGCGGCGTCTTCTTCGCGGGGCTGGCGCGTCTTCTTCGCGGCGCTGGCGTCTTCTTCGCGGCGCTGGCGCGTCTCTTCGCGGCTGGTGGGTCTTCTTCGCGGCGCTTTGGCGTCTTCTTCGCGGCGCTGGCCGTCTTCTTGCGGCGCTGGCGCGTCTTCCTTCGCGGCGCTGGGTCGTCTTCTTCGCGGGCCTGGCGTCGTTTCTTCGGCGCTGGCGCGTCTTCTTCGCGGCGCTGGCGCGTCTTCTTCGCGGCGCTGGCGCGTTCTTCTCGGGGTGGCTGTCCTCTTCCTCCGGCGCTGGCGCGTTTTTCTGCGGCGCTGCGGGCTCTTCTTCGCGGCGCTGGCGCGTCTTACCTCGCGGCGCTGGCGGGTCTTCTCCGCGGCGCTGGCGGGTCTTTTCCTCGGGCGCTGGGGTCTATCTTACGCGGCGCTGGCGCGTCTTATTCGCGGCGCTGGCGCGTCTTACTTCGCGGCGCTGGCGGGTCTTCTTCGCGGCGACTGGGAGCGGGGTCTTTTAGCGGAGATGGAGGAAAATTCCATACACACACGGACCAGATCTTAATGTGGTTATTTAAGCCTGGGGCCTCCAGCAATCAGGCTAATCCTGCCATCCACCTCTGATTCAGAGGGGTTGGGTTAAATGCGGAAGACGCATTTCGGTTGAATGCATTCAGTTATGCAACTGACTAGGTATTCACTTTCCTTTACTTCCTCCCTCCATCTCATCTCACCTTCCTCCTCCATCTCATCTCATATCTCCTTCCTCCGTCTCATCTCTCCTTCCTCCTCCCTCCATCTCATCTCTACTTCCTTCCTCCCACCGTCTCATCTCTCCTTCCCCCTCCCTCCATCTCATCTCTCCTTCCTTCCTCCCTCCATCTCATCTCTACTTCCTTCCTCCCTCCATCTCATCTCCTTCCTCCTCCCTCCATCTCATCTCTACTTCCTTCCTCCCACCGTCTCATCTCTCCTTCCCCCTCCCTCCATCTCATCTCTCCTTCCCCCTCCCTCCATCTCATCTCTCCTTCCTTCCTCCCTCCTCTCATCTCATCTCTCCTTCCTTCCTCCCTCCGTCTCATCTCTCCTTCATCCTCCCTCCGTCTCAGAAATCTCCACCTCCCTCCCTCCCTCCGTCTCATCTCTCCTTCCTTCCTCCCTCCGTCTCATCTCCCCTTCCTCCTCCCTCCCTCCATCTCCCCTTCCTCCTCCCTCCTCCATCTCTCTCATCTCCCTTCCCTCTCTCATCTCTCCTTCCTCCTCCCCTCTCTCTCTCTCTTCTCCTCCCCCGCTCATCTCTACTTCCTTCCTCTCCTCCGTCTCATCCTCCTTCCTCCTCTCTCCGTCTCATCTCTCTTCCTCCTCTCCTCCACATCTCCTCTCCTTCCTCCCTCCCTCCATCTCATCTCTACTTCCTTCCTCCCTCCACTCATCTCTCCTTCCTTCCCCCTCCCTCCATCTCAATCTCTCCTTCTCCTCCTCCCTCCTCTCATCCCCTCTCCTCCTCCTCCATCTCTCTCCTATCTTCCCTCTCCCTCCTCTCATCTCTCCTTCCCCCTCCC